TACTAGATAACTTATCATTCTTACAACTACTAAATGATTTATTATTACTATAACTACTAGATGACTCATTACTATCACAACTACTAGATAACTCATCACCACCATAATTACTAGAATTTATCTTAAGTTACCGTTAGTGACAATTATAGAATTTTCTTTTAATTGATAATCGATAAAGGTTTAGAGTTTAAAAAAAATAATCGATTTGCTTAATAATTAAAAGATCAATCGGGTCGTACCGTCGTAGTCTTAGCGTATTATCTTTAAGCAAGTAAAATAATAGAACGCAAATACGAGCTTATTAAAGACGCGTTAAATAAGCTTAAAAGTATTAATTAAATTACGCAATTATTAATCGTTTTATTCGCCGATCGCATTTCGATATATGCTTTTATCGGATTTATATTTTTTTATATAATATACGGCAAAAAGGTAATGCTTTCGATTGAAATTCGAATTTAATCTTAAGCTATATTATTTTAAAAACCGATAATCGATTGTATTAAGGTTATCGAGCTACGAGCACGCTAGTTTCAAATGCGAAACGAAGATGCCGTAAAAGTTATACTTAAAAAAAACTCGCCGCCGTTAAAAAAGAAAAGAAGCTCTTAATAGCAAAAAGAACTTTCGAATTAAGCTTTTAAATATAATTGACTTATTTTTTAAATACGATTTAATACGTAAAATAAATATATTTAATATTAAAAAGCTACATTTTCGATAGCTTAGCTTTTATTAAATTTCGTTGGTAAATATAAAAAGCTATTATAAATTAAAAGAGCTAAAAGAAACAAGGTTTTATTAAATAGAATATTTGCTAGCAATCGATTAAAAAAGCTTTACGTGCGATATATTTTCGAAATATTATCGCTTCGTTTTAAGATTTTAATAAAAAGATCTTTAAAATAGCTTTTATTAAATAAAATGCTCGAGTTCGGCTTTTAAATCAAACGCTTAAATAGATTTATTATTCGATTATTTAGCTTTACGAAAAAGCAACGAAGCTAATACGCGAAAGTCTTTATAAGTAATAATAAAAAAGCAACGAAAAGTATTTAAGTTTTAAAAGTATAATTATACGTAAAAAAAGTTGAGTTTGTATCTAGTTTTTTTTATTTAATTTTAGTTTTTTTTATTTTTTTTTTCTTTTATATTCTTTTTATTCTTTTTTTTATATTAAAAAGCTTCACGTTATTATATTTATATGCTTTCGATTTATTATATACGATTATATTATATATATAAAGCAAACTTTATTCAAAAGCTAATTAAGAAAAGCATACGAAAAAAACTATTGCATTAATTATTTAGCAAGCTGCTAATACGCAATAAAAAACCTTTCGATTTTATAATTTAAAGTTAAGTGAAATGATACGAAAGCTTTTCGCAACACTTTAAACATTGCTTTTACTTTTTGTCGTGCGGGTATAAAGGTTATAAGACTGGTTACTGCAATGTGCATTGCAGGTCTGCTTTTGCACATCAGTTAAGAGCCACATTCGCTCCGATAGCTCAGTTGGTCGATCGATCGCTAGCTGTCATTGAGCTATGCTGAGCGCAAAACAAAGTTTTCTTAGCCGAAAACCCGATGCCACCCCGCCATCGTTAGCTGCGGGGCATCTACTTCTTTATCGATAAAGAAGTGGTGACTTATTAGTCAGGCGGCGATACGAGTATCGCCGACCACAAATCCATTCGATAAGTGACAGAGAGCCTATAACCGCCACGTGGTTTACAGAGCAGTCGGTACGATAGGCGTTAATCGGCCAGCTCTGGGGGGTGTGTCGTGCGGGTATAAAGGTTATAAGACTGGTTACTGCAATGTGCATTGCAGGTCTGCTTTTGCACATCACTTTTCGAAGACTTACCGATATTGCTGCTATTCGAATTTTTTAAAAACTTATCGATAGTACCGCGATTAAAAGCCGTGCAAGCACTTTTACAAAGCTTTTTCGTAAAAGAAGCAAAAAAAAGCGATAACGATAACGATAACGAAAATAAAAAAGCTGCAAAAAGAAAAAGAAAAAGAAAAAGCGAAGTCGTATCGAAAATCTATTATAATTAAATCGAAAAGAAATTATAAAAGTCTTTTAATATATAATTACGCGATTAAAAAGAGTGTTTAATAAAGTATTATTTCGATTTATAATAGCTAAAATTTAACGCAATAAATTTAACGAAATTAAATCGGCGAAAATAACGGCGATAAATAAGCGCAATACCGAAACGAAGCTTAAGCTAATTAAAAGATTTTTAATATTAATAGCGGCAAAAGAAACAACGGCGATACGAGCTCGAAAAAGAAAAGAAGTATTACGGATTCGAAAAGCAATTGCGCAGCGGATTTTAATAAAAAAGTCGTTTGCAATTTTATTTAAGCGAAATACTTTAACGATTGATTTATTTTTATTATTTATATCCGTTATTGCATTTATTAAAGCTATACCGGCTTCGACGACTTTTGCAAAAAGCTATTAAAGTTAAAACGAGTATAAAATAAAAAGTAAGATAACTTACGGCGATATAAATCGACTTTTTATTATAATAGCGCTTGCATTTAATAAAAGAAAAAGTAAGATAACTTACGGCGATATAAATCGACTTTTTATTATAATAGCGCTTGCATTTAATAAAAGAAAAAGAAAAGAAGATGCATCGATTCGTAGCCGAATCGATACTTTTAATTGCGTAGCTTACGCATCGAAAATAAATTAAAAGTATAGCAATTGATTAATAATAATGTAAATTTAATAGATAATAGTATTAAGGAAAAGAATAAAAAGAGTATAAAGTTAATATAAAATAAAAATTTATTATTTATAGCAAGATTTCGAGTATTATATTACCGCTTTTGCTTTCTTTATTACGTTATTGCTTTAAGTTACGCGCTATTATCGATTTGGCAATGCGTTATTACTTGACTTTTTAAGCTGGGCTATATTTATTTGAACGATAATATTAACGCTCGGATTGATATTGTTTTTATAATTGAATAAAAGTGTTATAAAAGATATAAAAAAGAGTTAGACTCGAAAGATTATCTTGCACTTTCCTTGCTATTTTTATCTTTTTTATTATATTATTAATTCGCTTTCGTATTAATACCGATCTGTCGATGCATTATTAAAATTTAAGTGGTATTTTAAAATCGTATTGCCATTATGCAATTCGATTATATACTTTAATTTTGCAAACTAATCTTACTACTTTAATGAAGGATAACTTAAAGGCGAGTTTGATTCGAAAGAGAGACGTATATAATAAAGTTAAGAGTTTGTATTTATTTTGTTTATATATATAGTACTAATGCTAAGCACTTTTATTACGTAGGTGCATCGCATGCTTTGATTTTGCTAAGCACGTGGTTAGATCACGTATATACTCTTATATAAGCGAGTAATTGGTTTTTCTTTGAACTACTATTAATATACAACATATATATATATAATAATATAGAACATAATCGAGTGTCTTCGAACGTCCTTCTTCTCTTTTCTTTTTCATTTACATTTTTACTATGATTATATATATATATATCTTTTGATTTGACGTTGGGTATATGTCGGAGCTCTTCCCCTTTATAATATTACACCGCGAAGTCCGGAAAACTTACTCCGGAGCTTGCGAAGGGCCGTAAGTTTTAGCTTGCGTCCGGGCTGAAGCGTCATATTTTCTTTATATCCTTTTAAAGAGTATTTCTTATAGAAAATCGATGCGGAAGGCAGCCTCGCACTATGACCGGGCGAAGCAAGGTCTCCTTTGACCCCGGAGCTTGCGGAGGGCAGCCAGAGGCAAGACCTTGTGGCTTTTACTGCAACTTCTCGAATACCTTTTATATATGATTCGAAGTCTTGTTGAAAAGGACTACTTAATAATGCGGTTGTAAATCAAAAAGTGATGTTGTGAATTGTAATTTGTATACGAAAACTAGTAATAAAATAAAAAATCCGCAGTCGCTTATACCGACTAAGACTGAAAGGCTATAAGGAGGCCCACCTAAGCGAGCCGACGATTACCCCTTTAACTCGTAGTTCATCAACGACCAAGTCATTGACTCAGAGTTCAATAAGTGAGGAATCGACACTGCTACGGCTTATATATCAACGCTTTAATTTTTTTATAATCGGAATCGATCGATTTAGCAAAAGTTTACCCGCGAACGTAATGCGCGTTTCTCGCTTATAAAAAGGGAAGGTGTGGTTAAGAAGTGGTGTAGTCAAAGGTAGATTAGCAAGTAATAAAAAAGGAAAAAAAAGATTACTTGCTTATTAATTTACGTTTTCCGGGACGGTTTTAAGCTCAAGGACGGCTATGGGAGGGCTATAAGACGGTTTTAACACGCCCGAAAACGGTCCCAAGATAGTTTTTAGACGGAAAGACGAATATTTAAAAAAAGACGATTTAATCGAATAAAATAGCTTTATTTTAGCTACTATTTAAAAAATTTCAATCGTTTGTTTTTAAATTCTATTCAATTTTAAGTATCGGCCTAGGGTGATCCACCAGCCATGCCAACTTATTAAAATCGTCCCTGAAAGAAATGGTTATCAGACGATCAGCTGACCGTTTAAAACCCTTTGCATTCTCCTTTAAGGAAATGCCGGCACGCCATTATATCCTCAGGAAGATAGTAACTCGGACTCCTTTTCAGGACCGGCAGTGGGCGTTAAAACAACACTACTACTACTACTACTACTACTACTACTACTATTATACAGAACTTGGTCCTCTGCCTCCTAAAATATAAGCGATTAAAAGGTCGGCACGCTTAGGAATCTTATTAGACCCACGTAAAATAATCCTACGTAGTTAGATGATATATCGCTATCATAATCATTAGACTTATCTTGGATCACAGTTTATGGATGTAAAAAACCAAGGCTTCCGAAGGAATTATATTTCATACACATACACAAACCCCAGAACGCCAATGGGATTATCCCGCCTCCATGTTACAGTTTCCACTCCCGAGCCAAGAAAATCGTACAGGTCATAACAATCTAACCACCAAAACCATACAGAGTACGGCCTTGTCGCTTGAGGGCGTAGACTACGTCAAGGGAAGTAACTAGACATCGTCAGGAGGAGTCACAATAGACCAGTTGGACAAGCACATACCTGTCTTTCTCTTTGCATGTTCGGTGTACGTAACTGCGTCCCGAATCACACCTTCAAGGAAAGTCTTCAAAACACCACGGGTCTCTTCGTAGATCACTTCGATTGGTTAGCAGAGTTGAGGTCGGGGCAGACGAAGGTGGGAAACTCACTGGCCGAGATACGCTTCACACCACCACGACGCGCGAGACGTCTGATAGCAGGCTTTGTAATACCCTGGATGTTGTCTCTGAGAATCTTGCGGTGACGCTTGGCTCCTCCCTTGCCGAGACCCTTTCCACCTTTTCCGCCTGTGCAGACGCGTCAGTGGGTTGTTGATGTGTTGAGAGAACGCGTCGGAGGACACGAGGCAAAGGGTATGGCGGAAGGGGAGGGAGAGTACTCACGTCCAGTCATGATGAGGAAGGTTTTTCGAAGGTCGACAAGATGATTGAGTGTTGTGTTGAGTTGGGATGGGAGTGAAGGTTGAAGTGTCGGATGCGAAGTCGAGATGGGAGACTGAGAGAGAGCGGAAAAGGAAATGGAGGGAGGGCACAAGTAATTATTTGAGGTGGCGCGTCCCCACGTACTGGCAGCAATCAGAAGCTAAGAGATCGGGTCTAAACCTGATTCGGACAGAGGATTTGGGGGTTTTGGGGTTTTGGGCTGGGGCAGCAGCCGCGCAGTGCAGGGATGGCCGGAGCAGTTAATCCGTCAGTTAATCCGTCAGTTTGCCAGTGGTTGAATGGTTAGTCATGCAGTCAGGGAGTGGGTCGAAAGAACGCGCTCTGTTCAGCTCTGGTCTGATTGATTGGCTGGATGCGAGCAAATCAATCGCCAGACGCGCTCTGCTCTGCTGTGATCTGATTGATTGGCTGGACGAGATCAAATCAATTGCCAGCCCCACCAGCCCCACCGGCCCCACCGGCCCCTCCAATACCCGCCAAGCACGCTAGTGCAATCACTCCAGCTTAGCGTGGCAGAGGTACAAATAAAGGCCCCTCCCATTTGCATCCCCCTTCCTTTCAATCCATCAGCAACCACTCGACAACAACTCCATCTACTACTTCGTCCATCACCACATCACCACCACACTTCCCATCCATCTACATCTTCATCCTCCCTCATCAAAATGGCCCGTACCAAGCAAACTGCCAGAAAGGTACGTGCCGCTCACTTTTCCTTGGTGTCCGCGTTCTGGTCGCGGTCTTGCGACGGCAATCTCCAGCCACTATCCCCACCTCCGACGCGTCTGCCATATCCCCATCCACTCCCACAACAACACCCCACCTCCCCCATCAATCTCTGCTAACACCTCTCAGTCCACCGGTGGCAAGGCTCCGCGTAAGCAACTTGCATCCAAGGCTGCCCGTAAGAGGTGAGAATGTTCCACGAACCCGCTGTCTGTCTCATCTCTAACACACACCAGTGCCCCATCAACCGGAGGTGTCAAGAAGCCCCACAGATACAAGCCCGGAACTGTCGCCCTCCGTGAGATTCGTCGTTACCAAAAGTCGACTGAGCTCCTCATCCGAAAGCTCCCCTTCCAACGTCTGGTCCGTGAGATTGCTCAAGACTTCAAGTCCGACCTGCGATTCCAGTCGTCCGCCATCGGTGCCCTGCAGGAGTCGGTTGAAGCATACCTGGTCTCTCTGTTTGGTAAGCACACCTCGCCCTCATGACTCGAATGTAAGCTAACATCCCTCGAGAGGACACCAACTTGTGTGCCATCCACGCCAAGCGTGTCACTATCCAGAGCAAAGACATCCAGCTTGCGTAAGCCATATCCCATCATCCTATCCTCCAATTCTTTTCTAACTTGTTGCAGTCGTCGTCTCCGAGGAGAGCGCTCTTAATTGTCTATCGCGTGACGAGGAGTGTTACTGCTTGGTTCCCGGGCCTTCTGGTACGACGGGCTAGGATGGACTGGGATATGGCTGGTATTTGACGGTCTGCGGTAGGATGGGTTTGGGATATTCAGCGGAGTTTCAGTGCAAAGGTCGTCTGCTTTTTCAGGGCTGTACATTACTGCCAGCGTAGGGCGCTGAGCGACACGATCAATGAACTTTTCAAAACACATCATGTAGAGAGACGCTTTCTTGGTGATTCTGAAGACAGTCCCCTTCTAGCTCAAGGAATAACCGGCTACCAAAAGAATCAATCACCTTTTTCTGCGTATTCGACGTCCAACTCTCAGCGTCTTTGGCTCGTAACCGAAACTCTGGCCTGGATCCAGGGCTGGCTACACCAAACGATCGTGTAATCCCTTTTTTTAACATTTAACTATATTGATCAATCCTTCTGGTAAGTACATACCAAGCAAGAAGGCCCTTTACGGCATTGGCAATAGATACGATGCCAAAATAGTACTCCTATTTATACCGGGTGATCATAATACGAGGGAAGTACGAACGTTATCAAGACGACAGATACCTCTCTCAATTGCACTAGCGAGGGCACAAAGTAAAGGTTGGGAAATCGAGGTGGCTTAGAAAGGAAGATCCGAGAGTCTCTCTATTATCTATGCGTCGAGCTTCAGCTTGTCCAACAGCCTGTCGATTTTCTCGAGCAAGACTTGGTAATTGATCGCATCGGCCGCAAACTCATCACCCGCGACTTCCCCGTCCAGTGTTCTGATCTGTCCATTGGGGTATGGTTTGGAGACACTGTCGGGGGCGTTGCTTTCTTGCAGCGTGCTCCGATCAAGACCTTCTTCGTCCGAGCCGGCTTGGACACCGCCCTCTTGGTTTTCTTCCTCGGACAACATGACCTCGAGGCCAGAATCTTCGAACCGGAGGCGAAATCGATCATTTAGATAATGTCGGATACTGACATAGTTAGTGAGCCACGTAGTTTTAAGACTGGGAAACGACTCACTCGTCAAGCAGTTCGATTGTGTCTGTTTCCTGTCTATTTCGAATTCGAGAGGCGCTCTCTTTGATCAATTCTTCAAAATCTTCTTCGTCGATGTAGTGCTCTAATCTAAACGCCAAATACCTAGCACTAAATTCCTCGAGACGCTGCACCTTCAGATCCCAAGCAGCTCGAATCACATCTTGGGGTATACAAGTTAGCAGCTGGCTCAGTTAAAACTGGCAGGGAATTGAAATCTCGGGGAAAATCACGAACGGCTTGTAAAGAGAGCGGGTGTGCGGCGTATTGCTCGACCTACCATAGACATTTATTGGCTCTACCTCGATCTGCTGATCCTCACCATTCTCGAGATATGTCCGATCTACAAGAGTCCCCGTTCCCATGCCCACCTGTATGCCTAGGATTAGTAACGTGCTTTCTAGAGCAATGTTTGAGATCCAGCAGCTCGAAGAGTGCCCATGTTGTACTGTGACATTGGAGAATCACGCCCCGGGCAAAAGAAAATTTGAAGAAAAATCTTGAAGGAGGGAGCGCTTACAGTGCTTATAACGGTAGCTGCTTTCGCCTTGAGCCTGTCTATGAGCAGCATATCGGCCACGAACAGGACATCCAAAGCGAGATCGATTGGAATATGAGTCTGTTCGGTATAAATGAAGTTCAAGACAATCTCAAGAACTTCTGGAGCACAATCAACCTAGACTAGGATCAGGTCGATGCGCCTAAATGACAGTGAGAGTCATGGTATTCCGTTGTCCGAGATACACAGCGTAACTGATGCAAGCAAAACGAACATACCTTGATAATCTGAAGGTAGTCCGTGACTTGTGCTTCCTTGAAGGAGGACGCGAACATGGTCTACTTAACACATCAGCACTTTTCTTTCTTCCCAATGTCCAGGGGGGGAGGGGGTGGAACGTAGAACATGCGTCTCTGTCCCTGACTAAAGAGAAAACCGACCTGGAAATATTCAGATCTTGATAGCATAGCACGATGAGCTGGAAATAGAATCGAATTCTTTGGTGTTTGTGACGGCGGCAGGGAAAGGGATGTGGCAGATGGACCAATAGGGATTCCACTTAGAGGTTCTATCGCATTTTCCATTCTCGAAGTCTCGTCCTCATACTCTGTTTCCCCCATCCGCCCTTCATCTGCTCGGAGCAATACATCTGCAAATATGCTATTTTCCCTTGACCATTTCACGGCACTTGCCTTGCTCTGAGCCACCGAGATTTTGTGTTTGAGGACATTGTTTCGGTACCCTAGAAAGCGAGGAAGTGAGCAATCGCTTCGTCGACATTACTTTACTTGAAGAACGATGTAAATTTCATCGGAAGATTCGAAACAATCAAAATGGGAGTAAAGGGGTGTTATACAAGTTTCAATCTGATCCCGGCCTCGCTTAACCTCATCTTGGTGCCGTTGCCGTGCTATCCTTCTGTCGCTTCCGGCAAGAATTCCATCCCACAAGGATTCGATTTCTAGTTGCTTGCTTACTCTGTCGATACCCTTCAGTACTTCTTCCTCTGTCACAAAACTCCTACTCGACAAGCCAAGGTCCGCGGGTACGTCCCCTAAATACAGATAACGTATAGCGATTTGGAAAGACTCGGGAGGGATTGTGCTCGCCAGTTTCCAGACCGTAGTTTCCGGGGACGTCGTGAGTTTCTTGTGAAAGTATGGCGACCGTGCCGATAGAACAAACTTGTGAAGATTCCAGACTTCAGAGGCTGCGGTTAGGCAGATGTCTGAAGTTTTGGGCGTCTGCCGGGTCAGGAGTGCGGTAATGTGGGAGGCGAGCGGCTGGAGAGGGTCGGTACTCTTGGAGTAATCGTATTGCAAGAGAAGATTTCGGATTCGTTTGTTTAAGGCGTTGTAAAGGCATCGTTCGCCCTGGAAGGTATCTCGCTCGCATAGGGCACCGGCTTCTAGTAGGAACTGTACTACCTCATAATGCCCGCAGAGACTGGCCTTTCCTTATGTTAGTATGAGACTTGATCGACGGGCCTGGCCAAGGACAAGTCACTGGGGAGAGCTGACCAAGATCAAGGGAGTGTAGTCAAATACATCTCGAGCATTGATATTGACACCGCTTGCCACGGCTTCTTGACAGCCTTTGAGATCTCCAATTCGACAGGCATTGCAGAGCTTCTGGAAGTCCACGCTGACGTCAAGAGGGCTGTCATCCTTCAATATCCCATCCTGGATCAGCTGATGCTCGTCCCTCATCTGGGCCTCCAGCTCATCTTTGCGTAGGACCATTATATAGTGAAAAGGAACTGGGATGGAAGCGCAGGAGAATTGCAAATATAGAAAATGGAAAAGATGGCAAAAAGATGAAGATGAAAGTCCGTAGCTCTGTACTGCCACCACTTGGAATCGCCGAAGTTCGCCCTGGCCGAGGGTGCGAGGGCGGTGAAGAGGGGGGAGAGAGGATGTGGCTAAAGTACCGACTTCCGCGTTGTCCGGCCGACTGTATAGAAGGCACGTCAACAGAGACAGAGTCGCAAACCAACCTCTAAAGCATCAACACCACCACCATCGACAGCGTCAACGCAAACACCAACGTCGATAAATTAATAACAAAGAACAACGACCGAGATATCAACGACCTGAACAACAACCACAACGCCGACATCGACATTGGCAATAACGACGACGAAGACGATAATAGATCATAATCGACCTCCTCGACACGGATACTAGTACCAGGACAGGACTGTGACGATACTGATACGCCCCATCCACTTATGGCATTACTTCCGCAGACCTTTTACTAACAGATACAATCAATACACACCTGGGAACTATGTCGGAAGGAGAAAAGTACGATGTTTTAGAGAAGATAGGTCAGTCCCAATTCAATAATGCGCACAGGGTCGAAACATCTAACCCACCCCCAAGGACACGGATCCTTTGGCATCATCAGAAAGGTGCGCAGAAGACAGGATGGGCAAGTCCTTTGTCGCAAGGAGATCAATTACGTGCGCATGTCGCAGAAAGAAAGAGAGCAGCTCCATGCCGAGTTTGCGATCCTCTCCTCACTTCGACACCCCAATATCGTAGGATACTACCATCGGGAGCATCTGAAGTCCACCCAGGACCTGCATCTATACATGGAATACTGCGGCAATGGTGATCTTGGGCGCGTGATCAAGGACCTTCAAGCTAAGAAGCAATTGGCGGAGGAGGGGTTCGTCTGGAGCATGTTTTCTCAGTTGGTAACGGCGCTATTTCGATGTCATTATGGGGTTGATCCTCCGGAAGTTGGGAGCAATGTCATGGGCTTGGGGAACTCCGCAAATCCTAAACAGCCCGCGAGCAATGTCATGATCCTCCATCGAGACTTGAAGCCCGAAAATGGTAAGGGGGAGGATATCTTGATCAGTATTGCATAGTCACTGCTAACTCTCTACTAGTGTTTCTCGGCGAGGACAACTCGGTCAAGCTTGGGGATTTTGGGCTCTCTAAGATCATGCAGTCGCACGACTTTGCTTCGACCTATGTCGGCACTCCCTTCTACATGTCCCCAGAGATCTGCGCCGCAGAACGATATACCCTGAAGTCTGATATCTGGTCGCTGGGATGCATTATCTACGAGCTATGCGCGCGAGAACCGCCTTTCAACGCCAAGTCGCATTTCCAACTGGTGCAGAAAATCAAGGAGGGGAGAGTCGCACCACTGCCGAACGTCTACTCACCCGAACTCAACGCCGTTATCAAAGACTGCCTCAGAGTCAACCCCGACCGGCGACCGGATACCGCGACGCTTCTCAACCTTCCAATCGTGAAGCTGATGAGAAAAGAGAAGGAAGTTGTTGAGCTGGGGAGGATGCTCAAGAACAAGCAAGAATTAGCCGAGAAGAAACTGGAAGAGTCTGAGAACGTGCTCCGAAATCTTGAGGCCGAGAAAGTACAAATGCGACAAGAGATTGAGTCTACTGTTCGAAGAGAATGGGAGGTAAAAGCGCAGTTGGAGATCAACCGCCTTGTCCAAGTTGAGATCGAGAAGCTTCAGAAGAAGTTCGACCAGGAGGTAAATGAGAAGGTTGAGCACGAGGTCTCGAAGCGATCAAGTATCCAAAGCCACGGATCTGTCAGAGATTTTTCTGGATCTGGCTCATCTGCGATCAATGATATACCACTGTCGTCCGTGAGCAGTGCTGGAGATGAAGACTTCCCGAACTCGACCGGTTTGACAGAATTGTCAGTAGATTCTCCAGAGCCGGTCAGGGCTGTCAAGAGGAGCGCTCGCACACCATTCAGCCGCGCCCAGACCATGAATGCCGGTAATCTTACACCAATGGATATTGAGATGGCAGAACCGTCACCAATCTCCATTGCTTCTCTCTCGCTATCGCCGCGCCGCAATGGTGCTACTAAAGCTCCTATCACTGGACGTAACATCTTTGCGGATGCAGCCCGAGCTGAAGCTCGATGGCAACCAACTCTCATGAATTCCGACTCTGAAGACGATGATCTTCCTCCCGTGCCCTCCCCAACACGACCAAAGTCCTCAAAGAACCCTTTTAAATCCCACGGCACTCGACCTCCTCTCCTCTCTCAGCGAACAGCACCAACTCAAAAACAAGTGTCGCAGTCTGCTATATTTGCAGCAGGCAAGACTAACACGGCTCCAACAATCCCTACCCTGTCAAATGCCCCAGATCTGCGACCACAATCTAGCCAGGCTGCTCTCCGCGAGCGTAACAACTCCCCCAACCGTCGACTATCGAAGATTCCATCGTCCACGAACCTCCAATCCCACGATAGTGCCGCTACCTCTCCACAACGCAAGACCAGCCAGACGAAGAAGAATGCAGACGGCGTCGATCTCAACAAATTAGCCGCCAAGAACAACTTGGCCACCAAGACACTCAGCTCTGTAAACTTGGCTCCGAAGGGACGTACCTTGGTGGAGCTAGCGCAAGCAAGGGCAGGCGGACGACCAATGTCAGAGATCTCTGACGGAAACCGCAGTCCCGAGCCAAAGGGTCGGGCCTTCGCAGCTCGTATGGCTGAACGAGTCGGCGGCGAGCCACCAGTTTGGGACCCAGAGCACGATGAGATGCCCAGTCCCTTCCTAGTGCGGACTCGACAACCAGTCCGGAGACTTTAGATACGTGCGGCGACGATTGTACGGGATAAATAGTGAGTCATTTGAACAAATGGGAACAATGGACGGGCAGGATTTGGAAGGGGTTGGGGAATGAAAACATTACGCAGGTCACTCGCGTACATCTCTTTTGTCGGCTAAGGAGCATTGCATAAAACGGCGGCTGGGAGCGGAGCATCGAAACACGGGCAGTGTTTTGTTTACGTTGGGTGATATGAGGTAGAAAGGAGTCGAGGCGAAGGGGAGTTGGATAGGGACTCGATTAATTTGGTGATCTTAGTTTTTTTTTTTTTTTTTTTTTTTTTTGTTGTTGTTGTTGTTGGATGCGTGGGCTGATGCACTCTCTAGACATGCAATGCATACTGGAATCAGGAATTAGTGACTTTGACTTGTTGTTTGTCGCATCTGTGCTTCTTGGCTTCCATTTCCTCCTACCGGTAGTCCGGCTGCAAGTAACTGTTGTCATTGCCGAGCCCAGAGCGCAGAAAAGGAAGATAGGCGAGATCTTGTTGCAAGTTTCTAGCTCTTTTCTCCCCTCTGAACCTCCACCTCGACACAACCATACGAACTCATACGAACTCTATGGATTTACGATGGCCACTTTCACATCTTTTCATTCGGCTTGCTCTACCTACTCCTAGTTATGTAGAGGCTGGTGCTACTTAGGCGCGGTCAGAGTCTCACGACCGTAACTAATCCCGAGTATACCTTTCTAGCCTCTGCGGCCGCTGGGATCTCCCACCAGCTAAGCTACACTTGGGCCGCTCCTTTGCCTATTGACAAACGGGTGCGGATTCGTGGGCTATTACGTAGGAAGGCGGACGGGCCTCACTGGCCCCAAGCCGTCTCGTCACCAGCTTCAGTCTCGATCTTCGAGTTCACGAATCACTACCCCGATTGATATGCCATCCGTCAGGTCATTCGACGCTGGACCGGTCAGGACTAGAATTAGTGCCTCCCTCCTACCACTCTCATCTGGAAGCTGCTTGGTCCAACTCTTCTTTTGAGATGAAGCAAATCCGGCTGACCTGGGGACGAACTCGAGCCCCGGACGGCATCTTTTCTTCCCAACTCCCGTTACTCTCACCGAGTGTTGGAATACAGGGTTTCGCCGTGACCCTATTCTTACACTTAGACTCGCCACTTGGCTACCCTTATTGTACTACGTATATAGCTCTCTGCTCTTACCTACGAGAATCAACACCTTTCTGACTCCTTGATTCTTGATTATCTCACCAAGTACAAGAATAACAACCCACCTTATCTATACCGAATATGCCTTCAGGTCATGTTGAAGATAACACCCTTCCTACAGGTTACAATGCTGTGCGCTTGCACACAAATGAAAGTGCGTACCATACGATGTGATATTCCAATTCGACACGAGCCTCGCAATTGGTAAGTTTAAGGCAAGGCTGACTTGGATCTGTAAAGTGGAAACCGGAGTCACAGATGCTGTTCAAAGACATGCCAAGCGCCATGTCGTTCCCCCCAAACCCGTCTCTCAACGGAAACTAGATTTTGAGCATCTGCGGCCACGGTGGATGCGGGAGATGGCAGCAGAGGCTTTGGGTGTCTTTTTCTACGTATATCCTGGAATCGCCTCTCAGGCTACCTTCTTTCTGAACCCGAGCGGGCCAGGCTCCGGATCCATCTTCCAAATCGGCTGGGGCTACGCCATTGGCATCGCTTTCGCTATCATTGTCTGTGGCCCTACCTCTGGTGGGCATTTCAATCCGGCCATTACCATCTGCCTTGCAGTATGGCAAGGGTACGTCTCCAGCGCATCACACACCATGGTACAATCCACAAGCTGATATTTGTAGTTTCCCTTGGTCAAAGGTACCAAGGTACATATTTGCTCAAATATTGGGTTCCTTCATAGCTGGTCTCTTGTTGGTCGGGCAGTATTGGCCGCAAATATCGCAACTCGAGGCACAGTTCAGAGCAGAAGGTCTGAGTCCCAATTCTAACGGAGGACCGGGAAGCATTCTGTGCTCTTTCCCGGGTTCAGCGCAAACGAATTACGGCTACCTGTTCTTCATCGAGTTCTTCGTTGATAGCTTCATCGGGTAAGCTGGCGTTGCAGTCAGGCACAACGACCAGGAAGGCTAAAATTGTCCAGACTTGTAATCTGGGCGGTTCTTGATCCCGCGAACCCGTTTATTGCTCCAGCTTCAGCACCCTTTGTCATCGGTCTCGCGTAAGTGTTTACTCCTGCTCGTCACGCTGAAGCCTGCTAACGCTTCCAAGTTATGCGAATATGGTATGGGGTTTCGCCGACGCAACGATCTCTACGAATCTGGCCCGTGATCTGGGAACCCGAATGGTCGCTGCCATTTTTTGGGGTGGAGATGCCTTCGGCAAATATGCAGCTATTGCGATCCTTACGAACGTTCCAGCGACTTTGTTTGCCACCTTGGTCTACGAGGTTGTCTTAAGAGATAGCTTCGCAATCATTGCCAAGGGGCATGCCGTACATGAGGTCTGTAATGAGAAAACGCGCCCTCCTCGCTTCGAATAACGTACCTGCTGATTTTATATTTCGTAGGACGGAGAAGAAGGACTGGCGCAGCATATGACGAAGAGCGGAACGCCGCAGCAGGGCCCAGCAGGCAATGTTGTCAGGAGTCATCAAAGAAGCACTGATGGGAGCCAACAACAGAAACAAGATATTTCCCCAGTCTAGGCAATGGATCCGGGCTGCTGTGTCTAGTAGAGTACACGATCGGTCACATACGGAGTAGGGCTTCACCATGATACCGCGAGCAAATTACCAATATTACTCTGGAAGGTATACTCAACTCCGGCAAAAAAGGAGGCCCAACAGGGCTGAAAGCTGGAATGTTCAGTCAGCGTTGCAGAATATATGGAACGGCATTTGTAGATGCGACGAGAATCAAACTGTTGAAGCAGGCATGGCTTGTTGCGTTTCGATGCTTTTCCGTTTTGCCAGTGCATAGGAACTATAGGTAGTAGGTAGTAGATAGTAGGTAGCAGGTAGTAGGTAGCAGGTAGTAGGTAGCAGGTAGTAGGTAGTAGGTCGTAGGTAGTAGGTCGTAGACAGGAGGTAGTTCGAGTATACGAGTACGAGTATATTCAAATATACCTACGTAGGGCTTAGCGGCGGCCTATACTCGGGTAAATCGATATATATTGGTAGATGATATTTTCTCGCCCTTCTGTGGACGAACTTCACTCCTTCACTTCCTCTACGTGCGATTCGGAGGCTTGTGTGTTGATTGTGCGACGTAGCCGTCTCCCATCTATCTCATTCTCACAACCTGGCTTTTTCCCTACCGGTATTTCTTTACCCTACCATACTTTATCGTCGTCCTCTCAACACTCCAACACCCTAGCAGCCATGAGCGCTCAGCCTGCTCCTGCTCCTGCCGCTGCCACTGCCGGTGCCGGTGAAGCAGACTCCTTTGCTCCCGACGATGACTACACCCCGACCTTCTACGTTGGTCACCACGAGTCCAAACGTCCTTTGCCCGTCACGGATTTTGTTCTGCGACAGGCGCAAGATGTCGGAGTAAGTCTACCCAGCGACAGACCAAAGAGGATCAACCGTACCTTGATGCTAATGCGCCTGCGTAGTATGACATGCTCACCAGCCCCATTACCAGCCCTCACTTTCACTCGAGAGTCCTGACTCTGGTATCTACCTATCAGTCCGATCTTGCGCTCTTCGAGTCTATCAAAGATGCCGCCGCCCAAAGCCCCCCGCCCGCTCCGATTATACCTCCCCTCGACCCTGTGGATACTCCTTTAACGCCTGGAGATGCCGTCTCTCAGATCATCGCATACTCCAGCCCATGGATAGACCTATGCTCTGCAGATCCTCTCATATCGAACATATCCCGTCAAGTTCTCAATATCGAAATTGCATATGCCTCGTTCTGTGGAGTTGGCAATATTATTATACCGGGACCGAGATCATACACCAGCGGATCTACAGAGACTGATGGTCTTATACAATATGCCCGGGCCATACAAGAGGCGCTCAATATTGGAAGTTACCTTCAGATGGCCATCCATATTCCCATGTATGGGAACGAAGAAGCGCATGATATGATAGGCGATCTTCGTCCATTTGCCAGAGATTTTGAAACACATGGGGCCACGCGGAAGGCGAATAAAGAGATTGATTTGTTTGAGACTTGGGATGCTTGGAACTTGATTCGGAGCATTTGTAAATATAGCTCAAGACTATCCGTAGGTAAGATACAAAATACAACCATCCATTATCCCACACTCTGCAGATCTCGTGAGGCATGGTCTTCTTATATGAGAGAGCTAAGACCCTTCGGAGCACACCTTAAATCTCTGAAGGTAAATTGTTCCTGCTCTACTACATGTGGTTGGGAACCTAAGCTGATGAGACATGCCCAGCACTTGCGCTCCCTCGTCAACTCCCGGTCGAGTCTCTTCAATCTCGCTGGTATGCGGAACCTTTGAGGTTACTCTCCTTCACTCCGTCGACCTTTCTCAAGAACAAGGGAGGGCATCCTGTTCTCAGCAAAGGCCACCAGAGCTTGATCTCAAGATATATGCGTCTTAAGCAACCGCCTTGGCTATTGCTTTGTGACGTGGGACCTATTCCTGGATTGGACGACCCTATACAACTCACACCTACTGCCGACGGCTGTCCACCCCCCAGTGCTGTAGCAGATGCCTTGTCTCCAACGCCCGCTGAGGCTGCTGGGCACTCTGGGGAAGAGTCCCACAAGCAGAAGCAGAAGTGTAAGGACTTCGCTGCACATCTGGTTTATATTCGTTACCTCCAAAGGAATCAGCCGATCAGAACAGCTCTCGAGAAGTTTGGCTCGGGCTACCAGGACTATCTGCAGGCCCCCCTTCAACCTCTGACAGATAATTTGGAGTCTGTTACTTATGAGGTCTTCGAGAAAGATCCGGTTAAGTACGATTGGTACGAGCGTGCCATTGTTCAAGCCCTATCGGATTGGTCCGGCCGGCATAAGCCCACTTCGAGCCCAACTGGTGCAGTGGTCATTGCTGTAGCTGGGTCAGGAAGAGGTCCTCTAGTAACTCGGGCGTTGAAGGCAAGTGAGATGACTGGAGTCGCAGTCGAAGTTTGGGCCGTTGAGAAGAACCCCAATGCATACGTTCTGCTTCAGCGGCACAACGAGGAGGACTGGGGCCGTGCCGTCAACATTGTAAAGAGCGACATGCGAGCTTGGAAGGGACCTCTTCGAAGCACGACTGGACCTATTGGACAAGCTGTCACTACAAGCAACAGCTCTCCTGCTTCGCCGTACGGCAAGGTCGACATCATCGTATCTGAACTCCTTGGATCGTTTGCCGACAATGAGCTCTCGCCAGAATGTCTCGATGGTGTCCAGCATGTCCTGGCACCGCAGCACGGTATCTCGATTCCAAGCTCTTACACGGCTCATCTGACTCCCATTCTTGCTCCAAGATTACATGGCGACATTTCTCACCGCGCTCTCACAGACCCCACCGCTACAGAGACGCCTTATGTTGTTATGCTTCACGCTATCGACTACCTAGCAACTTCTGTTCCCGACCACCCCCGGATCCAAAAGGCTTGGGAGTTTGTCCATCCACTTCCAAATGCTACTCTTGCGACTGCGGAGGCGCGGAGAAGTGGGGGTGTCAGTGGAGGAGGTGGAGGCAGTATGTCGGGCGGCGACGGTGCGAACGAGCACAACACTCGCTCTGCCAAGCTTAAATTCGTCTGTAAGGATAGAGGCGTGGTCAACGGACTGGCTGGCTATTTCGAGGCTGTTCTCTATGATAGTGGCGAGACAGGCATCGTCGAGCTGAGCACGAGACCGGATACTATCGATGCCAAGAGTAAAGATATGATATCTTGGTTCCCAATATTCTTTCCCTTGAAGGTATGTTGCAGCCAAAATGATTTAGGGCCCCCCTTGCTGACTTGGGTCCCCAGAACCCTCTATACTTCCCAGATGATTCGGAGCTAGAGGTCAGTATTTGGAGACAGACAGATGACCGGAAAGTTTGGTATGAGTGGCTTGTAGAGGCATTTGTCATGGTTGGACCAAACAAGAGAATGAGACTGGGGATGAGCGAAATGGGCAGCAGCAGAAAGGCTGGATGCCTCATGTAAGTAAGCCAGGGCTCACTTCTCACATTCGCCATGCAGAGGTGATTGCGGTACTGGCATTGCTTGTTACTGCCGCCTAGGCAACACACTTCCGTAGCTCCCTGGTATCAAAATCCGTTGCATCTCATGCCGTGACCAACCAGAACTTGCTTTCGAGAACGCCTTTGCCCGTCGAAGTGAAACTTTTGCTTGAAATCCGAGTCCCTGTACCCCACCCCATATGCTCGTCCGCTGTGCCAATATCCGTCATCCCCCACACTGACCAGCATTTTCCTCGATTCTACATTAGGGCCCCCCGCTGTCGCGACTGCATCTTCATCCTTCCATCTTCGTATCCCCATTCCCGTTATTCTGATTCGCGCCTTGAATCCACAGGACATTATTGCATCTGCGCGACACAGTCAGCGTTCCTTGCTTCCTTCCTTCCTTCTCTCTCTCTCTCTCTCTCTCTCTCTCTCTCTCTTCTCAGGACCCCTCTATCCCGGCGCATCGTCTCGATTATACTTCACAACTAACCAGACATGGACAACACAAACATACCGTATCAGCACCTGGCCCAAGACACTGGTCATCTCTTGATCGATCCACTCTTCCGCGCCCGACAGCTGGATGTTCATGTAGCTGTCGATGCTAACCAAGCGGCCCTTGTACTCGGTCTGCCCCCATTTGAGACGGATGACGACTTCCTCGTTGACGCTTTGCACAGCAGACCAGAGTCAGTAAGTAGATGCTTCGCGAACGCAGGATGACGGGGGCATGATCAAATGCCGCGAGGGCGCGCGTTTGGGGGAGGTCTCGACGTACAGGTTTTGCAGCATGGGCCGCGGGTTGATGGGTACGAACTAGAAGATACTTGTGAGATTATTGTTTTCCTGAGGGGGGGTTGAGGGGGGATTTGAGGTTGGGGAGACTCACACTCATTTCTTAGAAGGGTGGAGAGGGTGCTTGAGTGAGGCGCGGGCGAAGATGATGTCGAGGGCGTTCTGGGAGCTATATGTCCAGAGTTATAAAATCGACGGTGCCGCTTTTGGGGGCAAGATTTTAGCGAGGTTGGTAATACAAGGAAGGCTGACTGACCATTTTTGATAACCGTCACAACTCATAATGGCGTCACTTTAGTGTTTGATAAATAAATATTCAATACCTCACATCTTTGATAATTTCACAACGAAATGTACACTGCGATATTCAAAAGTGTTTTGGGAGAACGTTGTACCATCCCCAGCTCCACCTTATGGTCCCAGAGATATCGATACTCCCAGTAAGCACGACAAAAGACCGCAGATATTTTATTTGAACCCTCTTCAGGACAGTTCTTGATTACTCAGGTTCTTCTGATCTCCCACTTCAAATCCTTGATGCTGACTTCCTCTCCCGCTTTGTCATCATACTCATACCACTCTCCATCATCAAGCTCAATACCCGCGAATTTGGTGCCCGACTCGAGGCCTGTGGCCAGCCACTCTCCCTGTGATCGATTTGCTCAGTAAGGTAAGGGTGATTCCGCCCGTCAAGAGAGACACACCTCGGGCTTGAACTCGACAAACTCTAGTCCCCGAGTGTCAAACTGGATGACCTTTTGGCGTGTCGGTGGAGAACCTTGCTGGTAGGAGATCGGCGGGTCTGTGATCGTGGCGGAGGATTCTCTCTAGGATACGATCCTGTTAATCCGTGTGGCCTGAAAACGGTGTAATGTCTTATTCATATCACAGACCTTGCATGATTTGCATTTCCATACAAAGTTGGCTTCTCCTCGGCTGCCGCTCATATCATTCGCTTCCTGTCGAGAGATCAGCCAAGCCCCCAACACGAAATGCCATGCATGCAAAGGGTGCTCGTGGTACTTACAAAACGGCTGACATTTATGAAATTCGGGTGAATTTCTCGGCAAGAAGTGCACTGGACTTTGAAAGTGTACCAAAAGGGGTTCTCGGGCGTGTCGTCCGGCCTCAAGTCAGTTACTCTGATCCCGGTTAGCATGAGCTCCAGAATACATTTATTTTACAGCTCCTACCCCGATAAGTCGGCGGTAAGAGTCAGGATCATCATATTTGCCGGTGATTGTGCTTTTGGCACTCTTCAACAGAGAAAAGGAGCTCGAGTGAGTGAGGTTTCGGTGGAATGATGTACGATATGTATGAATAAGGTAGGTGGGTAGTGGGGTGGAGGGGTGGAGGGGAAATGGGTCGCTTGTTTAAAAGCAGCGGGCGATTCATAACCGCGTCCTACACGCGCGCAAAATAGATCCTCCGATGATCGAATTGGATCAGCTCCACTGCAATTCCAACTTCACCTTTTCTCCACGCGGACACACTCGACCCAACGCTCCCACCAGGCCCGGGAAGCACCTCAAACTTCAATCGACCTCGAATCGGATCTCCCCAGCTCCAGAATGGTCCGATGATGCACGCCTTTTGGTCTCGCACTGCGCAGGCCAGGTCATCTTGTAGCTGCCGGTCATGTTTCCATACAGCAACGAACATTGCCCGGCGAACCACGACTGCAGCTAGCAGACGACGGATAAAACCTAGCGATGTTTTCACCGCATGCTATTCAACTATATTGGCGACGGCGGCAGTGGCCGATATGAAGGTCAAGGAGGAGAAATTGAGGGAATGGGATCGTGTAATTGCTGAAGCTAAGGCTTGGAAACCTCAAGAGTCCACCATTCAAACCCCGACCCAAACAAGGAAGCCTGAGAAACGGAAATTCCACCACAAACCGAATATGCATCATTTCTATCCAGTGCCAGTCGGAGATGGGCTAGACACGCTCATTGACTACAGATTAAAACAACAAAGCTACCAATTGCAGAGCAACCCGGAATATGTGGAAGAAGCCTTTGATCCAGAATTGTTCACTCGGCAGCCAAAAAAGCAATTACATTTGGAACGGCAGGAGGAATCAATGGCTCGCCTCGTGGACCGATTACTTGATGAGTCAAAGCTGTTCTCGGATAACCCTCTGCCCGCGCCCGTCGAAATCCAACAAGAGATGGTACAGATGAGGGCCTTGATACAATCCTTGATGGACGGAAACACCAATCTGCCTCTATACGAGTGGAACGATATACATGAGATCACTGACCAGCGAGAGGCTCTTTCCCGATCCATTCAAGCTCTCTGCCGCAAAGCAACGGCTGACGACCGGCCAAGTATAAATCTTATGCTGACGAAAGTCTCCTACAACTTACTGGTAGCCAGAGCTCCGCCTTGTACCACCAATCTCAATGTCTTTCTGGCCGAGTTGATTCGACTGAAGCAACCACAACTCTCTCAGATTGTCGTCAATCATTTCGTGCACGATACAAAGCATAAGCCTACTAAGGTTACAGCAAAGTTGATGCTTGATCACTACCGTTTCAAAGGAAAAAAAGGGAAAGGGGATGCTTGGGGCTATCGGTCGATTGTGCAGCGCATGAGGGGTTGCCGAAAGTCGGCGGAGTTTAGGTCACGCCCTGATATGCTCGTCAAGCATCGAGACAGGGAAACTTTGCATTGGCCAGAACATGAGGAATGGGTTACAAAGACGAAGACTATTCATCGTAATGGATCCATGCATCAGAAACTGCCTCGAGATGCACCTATATTCGATAGTCTGATTCTAGGTAACTTGAAATTCCTAGGCCCACAAGGAGCAGTTCGTGTGATCAGAGCATCCTTCCGGGCAGGACACGTGGTTCATCATGAAAGCCTTGTTGTTGTCATCACCGCTTGCTTAGAGCAATTGAACTTTAGTTCTGGCTTGCAATTGATTCGAGTCTTTATAAGACTGTGGTGGGATGGTGTAGGTTTCATCGCGACAGTCTACACGGAACAACTTCGCCATCTACTTCGCCAACTCTTGTTGATGTGTGGCATTGACATCACTCTCAAGTCGCCATACGATCTACCCATAAAACATTCTTGGGATGCCCTGCAGGACATGCTCCATTTCATGGAAGTGGAAGATATCAAAGATGCTGTTGAGCGCATCTCCGAACTCACGTTCTCGTTGAGCCAATCCCTAGGCCTGATCGCGCCAGATGCGACAGTGGAACCTGCCATCCAGAACGAAAATACATCGCTGTGTGGCATGATAGAACCCGGGCTCCAGCAGGAAGTCCAGTCTCAAGGGTCACCCGATATTGACCAAGCTCTGCAGCTCTTCGAGGACTTCGCTGCGGAAGTGCTTGACCGGGAATTTCTGCGAACCGAAATAGATTCTACAAGCCGGTGGAGACGGCTCTTAACCTTGGAAGATCGTGTTGACCGTCGGTGTTGGCAGACCACCCTGATCGAGGACGAGTTACTTTCGATAATGAGCCCTGAGCTCTCCGTGGAAAGAAAGGAAATCTTCGACACATTACTTAAAGAGCTGAGGTCATGGATGGGCGTACGGTTGAATTTCTTCGGCAAGCTTCATGTTCTTCAAAATCTACCAGATGTCAAGACGAAGAAGAAGTGGAAGATGAGGAAGAAGAAAGCCAAAATGGAAGTCGAAGGCATCACGGTATCCACTACAGCCTTGCCATGGGCTGATAGTATGACCCAATGAAGCAGCCAAATAGAGCATACTAAAGTGATGGCATGTATCGAGGAAGAGGCGCCGAGGCCGCAAGCTGTTGTTAATTCGTGATAGAGGTGTTACCTTGTACATCTGCGAGGAGAAATGTGTATACATAACATACAGCGACGCGTACCAGGTATAGAGGTGTTACAATTTCGGTGTTATTGGAGTCGCTGGGAGGCATTTGGTATGGGTGGATGAAGCTAGGCATTGTGGTTCTGCACGTACCGTTGATACCAGTAGTGAAGAGGAAGATACGAGCTGATCCGAAAGATTTCAGCACACATGAATCATGCTTAGCCTCGCTTCAGTGACAAGCATGTTGGCCATACTTTCCTAGATCTCTTTGGTCTACCAGCTCTCAGTACCATATACTGCGGGTTCTGTGGTGGGGAATTTCGTCCTTTCCAGCTCCCTCGCGCTCTTTCATTGTATCGTACAGGAAGAAATCTATCAAGACCGCGTTGATCTTCGCCTCCGGGTGGTTTCTGAGGATTTCTCTCCGGATCAACTCGACGCACCAAATACTACAGCCTGGAACCATCAGCTCTTCTTCTTCCCGTCATTTTTCAGAGCAAGTGGAGAAAGCCTACCTCTCATCTGAATCTCCCAAGTATGTCCACTCTCAATAATCTTCTTCTGCCTCACCGCATGGTCTAAGAGCGGGCTATACCACAGACAACCCAGCGTATTCAGGATCTGCGGCACGCGATAATCTGCAAACATAGTGATCTTGTCAATATCAATGAAGCCGCCTAAGCTTTCTCCTTCAAACGCGGCCCAGAGGTCTGCAACGCAAATCTGGGCGCGCTTGAGGATACGCACGCTCTTGCGATTCTCGAATTGGACAACGTCGTTGAAGCAGGGGAAGTTCTCTGCGAGGAGGTTGACCAGAGCGGCAGCTGAGTTGTTGGCGGCTGCGATGCAGTTTGTGAAGCTGCATTGGTATTTCTGACACGGCGTCAGTAGGTTAGGAGAGGAGAGGATACGGGGAGAAGGACTTCGTAGAGGACCTGGCCGGCCTCTCGCAGGCAAGCCATCCGTTCTTGGAAGAGCGGAATTTCTTCCTCGGTTGCGCTTCTGAAGACGTGCCGAAGGACCTCTTCTGTGCCTGGGTCTGGTCAGCTATAATAGCTGTATTTCGGATAAAGAGATTATCGGCCTTTATGTATCCATCATATACACAACAGGAGAAAATGAAACGCGTGTGCTACCCTTGCTGCCTTGACGTGGACGCCTTTGCAAGACCTGAAAAGAAAGGAGAGCTAAGCTGCCAGGAAATTTCACGCTGAAAATGAGAGCCGCTTACATTCGTCCTCATTTTGCCAAAAATCAGAAGACGTTATTGGGATATCTGCACACAGAATAAGCTTCCAATCCAAAGCCGGAGTGTTGCCATGCACCGACCCTCTTCCAGCGCTCTCTGAAGAGCAGCAACCAGACTCCAATAGCCTGTCCACCTTTTCCCCTTATACTCGATAGCAAAACGCTCTCCATCATCCTTCTCAGACCAGAACGAGAAGTTCAACAGATCCATGGTGAAGATGAACGCCACGGTACTTTCATCCTTGGCTTTCGGGTGAAGCTCATGTGATGACCATGTTTTGGCTGAGTACTCTCTCTTCTGCATCTGCTCGTGGATCATGGCGGCGGTAGCTTTCGTAGACTGGTAGTCGATGGCTACATCGATGGAATTGTCATAGACATATTCGGCTCCTTCCAAAACCCGGGTCTCGGGAACGGCTGGAGCTAGCGAGGTCTTTTGGAAATGTTGGCGGAGGAAGTCCAGGAGATCATGATCCGGCTCATCGTCAGACATGGTGGCGAGCCGTAAAGACGTAGAGAATGTTATCGACGTCGCTCATCAGCCTTTTAACATCACGTGACACAATACTTGTGAATACCTTAAACGATCGCGTCTAGCCGCGCCAAGCAAAAACATCGGAGTTCGTTTCGTGCATGACCCGAGGCGCAAACGGCCCAATACTCTCTTACTTACTTGCTCGCTTTTCCTCTCCGACAACAACAACAACCCCACCTCTCTCGACTTCCAGACATCCTGACCTCCAGACGTTCAGTTGCGTGTCTACAGCGCAGGTGCGCCTGCGGAACTCAAGCAGGATGGCGCCAGCATTGAAGCGCGATCACTTCAATGCCCAGTCGCTGGGTATCCCCTTGAATACAATGGTGAAGGAGGTGAGAAACTTGCACAGACTGCGATCCCCGATTCTCTCTCCTCTTCCGCCCCAGAGGCCTCTCGACTTAAAAATGGCGTTGGTCTGCTCGGGTTCTCGCTCTTTTACTCTACGAAGCAAACCTCTGGTCTGCGGAGTCAATGGACAGGCCTTCTTGCTGTCTCCGCCGATGCGCCACCGATGCGCCCCGCGAAGTGGGAAATTAAGGCTAACATTTCTCAATAGGCCAAGATCCTGATGGTGGGCGCAGGAGGGATTGGCTGCGAACTACTCAAGAACCTTGTCCTCTCTGGCTTCGGCGAAATCCACATCGTAGATCTCGATACCATCGATTTGAGCAACCTCAACCGACAATTCCTCTTTAGGCATGAACATATCAAGAAATCGAAGGCTTTGGTGGGTTATACGGACAGGTCGGAGGATCAGTGTGCTGACAGACGAATAGGTTGCGAAGGATGCGGCGCATAAGTTCAATCCCAGTGTGAAGCTCGAGGCTCATTTCGCAAACATCAAAGATGCGCAATTCAACGTGGATTGGTTCAAGGGCTTTGCGATGGTCTTCAACGCGCTGGACAATCTGGATGCTCGGAGACATGTCAACAAGATGTGCCTTGCGGCGGATATCCCCCTCATTGAGAGCGGCACCACAGGCTTCAATGGTCAGATTCAGGTCATCAAGAAGGGCGTCACGGCATGCTACGACTGTACACCGAAAGAGACACCGAAAAGTTTCCCGGTTTGCACGATTAGAAGTACACCTAGCCAGCCTATACACTGTATTGTCTGGGGCAAAAGCTATCTGTTAAGGTATGTTACTTGTGCCGGATTGGATAACTGGAAGACTGAAATCTTGGCAGTGAGATATTTGGAGCCAGTGAGGATGAATCCCCCGAAATGGATCATTCCGAAGACAGTGAAAATGGTCCGTAGCCTCGGCCCAGCGTCAAGTTACCAACTGACCAAATTAGCCAAGGAAATTGAAAAGCTACGTCAAGAGGCACAAGCACTCAAGAAGATTAGGGAGGCTATGGGCACCGAATCGTTTCCACAACTGCTCTTTGACAAGGTCTACAAGGATGACATTGTCCGCTTGCGCTCGATGAAGGAGATGTGGAAGACAAGAAGGCCCCCGGAGCCTGTTGATTATGCTTCAGTTCTCGGGAAGGCGACGGAGGCGGAGGCCAGAAAGGAACAGATACTGGATGATGGGCAGAAGATCTGGACCCTTGAAGAGAACGTGATGGTGTTCAAGGATAGGCAAGTTTCGCCTCGGCCTTGCAAAACTATACTAACTCTTGCAGTCTGGAGCGTCTAAGCAGGAGAATGGCAGACATGAGAAGTTCTACCGGTCCGGGTTCGGCTGAACCAGTAATCACGTTTGACAAGGACGACGATGATACTCTCGATTTTGTTACCGCTGGTGCGAATCTGCGCTCGATAATTTTCGGAATCGAGACCAAATCCCGCTTTGACATCAAGCAAATGGCCGGAAACATCATCCCGGCAATTGCAACAACCAATGCTATCGTAGCCGGACTTTGTGTACTTGAGTCGTATAAAGTTCTGAGAGGCGATTACACTACCGCAAAAGAAGTGAGTAGCAGTTTACGAGACACCGACCGCTCCTCCGTCTAATCTGTTCCAGGTCTACCTTTCACCATTTGCACAAGAGAGACTGCTTGCCTCTGATCGAATCCGTACTCCCAATCTTGACTGTCCGGTCTGCAGTGTAGCTCAGACTCGCCTCCTTGTTGACATGTCCCGAGCTACTCTCAACGACCTTGTCGAAGACTTCCTGCGGTTGGAGCTTGGTTACGGCGAGGAAATCGTAGTTAACCACGGTGCTGATCTACTCTACGATGTGGAGGAGACAGACAACTTATCCAAGAAGCTCAGTGATCTCGGTACGTGCTATTTGTGTCACGCCACGCAACCAATCCTGGCTAATTTACGACACAGGCATCAAGAGCGACAGCTTCCTCACGGTCATCGACGAGGACGAGGACAACCCCCGGGTCAACCTCGTTCTTAATGTCCAAGAAACGTATGTAACTTCTGAGCATTCAAGCCACCCTAGACTAACCTTATCATAGCCCTACTCTGGAAAAGAAGCCAATCAAGAGCCTTGACATTCAGGTCGTCAATGGCGACGGGCCTTCTTCCTCCATCCCACGAAAGCCGAAGACCTCGCCCGCCAGCGCTGCCGAAGCCACGAATGTTTCAGGTCCCACAGGTCCCAAGGCCAACGGCGATTTGCCCACCTTCTCCGCAGGGGTCAAGAGAACTGCTTCAGAAGCCCTGGGTGAAGATCCACCGAGCGGCAAGAAGTCCAAGCAGATCCCTACGGCCACGGACACCGTCATTGTTCTCGATGATGCCGACGGTTCCATCTTGATCGATGACGACTAATTCTCTTCTTTCTCTCAACACATCTTGTCGCCATCTTACGCCAAAAACATCTGGATCGAACAGGATGGTGGCAAGTCATACGGCGCTCAATCCACCATCAAGATTCAGCACACAGTTATTTGCATATTGGTTCGTAGCCAGGAAGACGGCGGCATCGGCGATTTCGGCGACTTTTCCGAAACGTCTCAAGGGAATGGAGTTTTGGGCATCTGATCGAGCCATTGGGGTCATGGCTACGCATTGTAATGTAGATTAGAAATAGACTCTCGGGGCAAACAAGCGGGTAGAAGGGTTGGGTTATATCCCGACAGCACGAAGGCAACGAATGCAAAATTTGTAGATACACTTACCATCTGTCATGTCCGTCTCGATGTAGCCGGGGAGGATGACGTTCACACGGACGTTCTTCTCGCCTAGCTCGGCTGCCAATGCTCGTGTCAAGCCTGGGGATGAGAATGGGGATGTCTTAGCAGGGCACGTCGGAATAACGAGTCTCTCTGATGCTTGATCTGAGGAACGAAGACGTACCGACAACCCCGGCTTTGCTTGCCGCGTATGCAGAACTGCCCTTGCCCCCTTTGATGCCCAAAAGTGATGCCACGTTGATGATACAGCCTGTGTGCTTCCCGTCAGCCATTTGTCTAACCCATCCATCCAACTCTTGCTCCGAGGAAGTATTGCTTTGGTTGAGGTGGTGGGTGGCTAACAGAAATAGATATACAAGCAAGCAAGCAAGCAAGTGTAAAAAGAGAGGGAAGAGGAAGAAGATGAAGAAGAAAAAAGGAACAAAAAGCCAAAACATACAACAGCGGGGATTCGCTGGTGGTCACCCACCCAACTACTAATCCGCCGATCTGAGGCTTGTGTATGGCAGAGCGAACGGGATGCCCAATTCTCCTCAGTCTATGGTCGTATGTGTCGGTGGCGGCATTACCTGGATAGATATGGCGTCTAGAGAGGAAAAGAGGCGTGCGTTGACTGGGGTTGAGATGGACGAAGACAACAACAAGAACAAGAAGAAAGAAAAAAAAGAAAAAAAAAAGTCGGGGGGTAAGAGATAATGATGATAATAATGATAATGATGATGACAATAATGATGATGATGATACGCACCTCCTTTCCTGGCCATCATCCCCTTCCCCACCGCCCTACACCCCATCATGGTCCCCATGAGATTCGTGCGCATCACGCTCTCAAGCAGCGGCGTACTGGTCACGAAGAGAGGCGAGTAGTGCGTGATGCCCGCGGCATTAACGAGGATATCGATCTTCTCCTACTCCGTCCGCTCGCCCTCCACCATTAGCCTACCATACCATACCATACCACACCACACCCGTCACCCACATCCATATCCATATCCATTCCCATTTCCCATTTCGCATTTCCCCTTTCCCAGACCAAGCCCCGTCCCCCTCCACCATTCAACAGTAAGAGAATGAATCAACGTACCCTCTTCAGCCCCTCCCAGAACGCCCCCTCCGCAACATCGCCAACGACAACCCGGTGGCCACCCTGTGGCTCGTCCAGTTCGTCCTTCACCTGCTCTAGCAGGCATTCGTTGCGTCCGGCGAGGATACAGCGGACGCCCTCGGAGGCGAAACGGCGGGCGATGGCGGCGCCGATGCCGCGGGAGGCCCCGGTGATGAGAGACGTTTGGGTAGCCAAGGGTCGAGGGGTACCTTGGACGTGTTGTTGTTGTTGTTGTTTTTGTTGTTGCGGTTGTTTTTGTTGCTGTAGCGATTGGGAGGAGTGGAAGCCGTGTCGTGTTGTGGCGCTGTAGACGAGAGATCGGGGAATGGGGAGACCGGGACGCATTTTTGATCTTCTTGATGAAAGAGACAGAGGATGATGGTACTTAATCTCGTGGGGTTTTCGGGCAGTCGAGCTCTCACGTTACTCGGCTATGGAAAAAGGGGTTCAGTTGGATAACCGACAAATCAACCAAGCGAGTGAGTAAGTGAGTGAGTGAGTGACATGCTTCACTAGCCTAGTACAGTGGGCGGTCACTGGTCGCTTACACAAGTCAAAAAATGTTGGTGTTATTAGATGCTTCTTTCAGCTAACTTCATATTTTGCATATTCACATATCCAAAGCCCCGAAGTATAATCATGGGTATTAGGGGCTTCGACTCCCAACCGCCCAGAACACCACACCACAATAAATTGCATCCAAGGCTTCAAATCCCCGTCTCATCTCTCAGTGGGGTCTTTGGTCTTCCACGTTACTCCCATATCGTTTACCCACGTCGACTCCAAGTCTCTTTCTCTGTTCTCCCGAACGGCCTCGTCAACGCTCATCTGCACATACTCCCCGTCCCCATGATCATGGAGCCGCACAGTCTCGTAGCCTGTTTCGGGCTTCTTGTCGAACCAGTACTGTAACCGAGTCCCGTGAAATAGTCGCTGCCACCCATTACCCCCACTAACGCCAAACGTGTACGCTTTATCGATGCGCTGCAAACTCCTGTAGAATACCGAGTACGCAGCGGCAGAGTATATGAGGCCACCAAGAAGATCGATACGCCAATGATGCCGCAGGTACATGGTGGAGAACCACTGCCACAGGACGTAGAATCCGAGCATGTAAGCCCCTCTCCGAGAGTACCGAGCTATGAACAGAAAGCAGCAGCAGCTGAAGGCTCCGTGGAGAGAGGGGAAGGCGCCAAATACGAGGGGCGATGCCTTGAATGCGTTCGCGTATATGTGCGTGCCCAATACCTTATCCACGCGGACCAGTCCCGCTGCTGAGCCTGGCATGCTGTAATTTCCGGGAGGGAGGGGATATCCGTACTGGTCTCCGTACCAGGGCGCCGCGGTGGGCAGGGAGAGGTGCGTGATGATGCCCAGACAGTTCTGTATTCCAAAGCACCATGCGAATATCGAGACGACACCAGGCGAGGCAAAGAGCCAGAGCCAGAAAGCGGCAGCAAACGGGGAAATGAAGTGGATTACCCCGTAGGATAGCCAGGCCTGCGCACTTAGTATGTTGCATTTCCCACATGCGTAGGACGACCTACAAAAACATCGAGAGACGCGCATAGGTTATGCGTCGCAGCATGAAGAAGGTTGAGCGTGAAAGGGGGTGTGGCGGCGAGGAGCGACAGTCTTGATCGCCGCGTAAGCGCATACATCCACGAGTAACCGGCGACTGAGAAGGTGCTTTGTAGCAGCAGGCCGAGGAGAGTAATATCGAATATGGTATGGTCGAGCTGCTCGAGATCGTTCACATGGATATCCGGTCGGATTGACGAGTCGATTCTCCAGGCTACAAGCAGCGCGTCAGCCACAACTCTCGGGCCCGCATAGGAAGAGTGACCATGCCATTTTTGAAAGTTGTGATCCATATGAGAATAAAGGTCATATTAATAAGGATATGCCTTAGCAGCCCGAGAAAGGAATGTCTGCGAGGCTGGGGGTTAGCACGCGGCGGCGGCAGCAGGGTCGGTTTGGGTTTCCCATCAGACTGTCTCTTGATGGAACTGGGGGCGGCTCTTCGCACCTATTTTTGAGCGTGTTGTAGATGTGGAGGAAGAAGCGCCCGGCGGCACTTAACACGACTTCCATCACGAACTAGTTGGATGGTTTGAAAGGGACGCAGGTCGCAAATGGAATCCACACGCAGCCCATGGGCGAGAAAGGAGTGGCGGTTGGGTTGGGTGATGTGAATGAGAGGAGGAGGAGAGGAGGAGAGGAGGAGAGGAGGAGGAGGAGGAGAGGAGGAGGAGGAGGAGGTAGAAAGGAGTTCTGGGCTGGCTCGCTGGCTGGCCGAGTTGTCCGGGGTCAGGATGGGTTGTCGGGATGGTTGGGATGGCAGGCAATTTTGAAGGGACGATGCATGCAGGCATGAGGCGCTGAGGCGCTGACAGTCTATCAAATGGAACGGAGTCGACCCGAGCCGACTTGGTGGTAACAGTAACCTGCGTTGTCGTAGTACTTTATGCCGGGCCCATGCTGACTGGTCGTCGTCGTGTTCGTAAATGAATGACTGATATGTGTAAATGCGTGATCGTCTCGGAGGCTGAGCCCCCGAGCCCCCGAGCCCCTAAGTTGATAGATGGGCTTTCCGACCGCTTCAGCCTCTTCTCCTTCTCCAACACCCACACACTCACACTCACACTCACACTCACACTCACACACCCACATCCTTCCGCCATGGCCTCCTCAAACGAGAACCAGGGCTTGAGCAAGTATATCACTCTCATATCCAGCGATAACTTCGAGTTCGTGCTGCTGCGCGAGGCCGCTTGTACCAGCGGCGCCATCAAGAGGATGCTGGATCCCAAGAGTCAGTACAAATAGCTACAGCACTCGGTCTCTCACATTCGACTCCCTCTCTCCCCCTCTCCCGCTCTCCCTTCTGGAAACTACCATGCTGATCTTGCTCCTGTGACGTTCAGGCAGCTTCAAGGAATCCACCGACGGGAGATGCTACTTTGCAGAGATCAAGTACGTTCACACACCTCGCACCTAGCTCAGCGCAGCTCAGCTCAGCTCAGCCCCTCCTGAGGATACCACTGTACACAAGCCCCGGAAAGGAATGAGAAACGCGCCGACCGTCTTGCCGTGGGAGAGCAGCAGTCTGTGATTACAACATCGAGCCCATTGCAGACAGACCCTTTTTCTTCCTTCGGGAGTAAAGTACGGACGCTGGATGATCCTCTCTCAATACACTTGATATGAGACTTGCTGGCCTCTTCCTGTGGAACCAAATGGCATACCGGCCGCTACCTCTACCGACGGGCTGCCGTGATGCGGAAAGCCCTCGACCGACGGCGAGCTGATTGGCAGCAACAAAGGCATCGGGCTAGCTTGCTTCCCATGGGCATTGCCCCCCACCCCTGTGTTCGCAGGCTGAATCGATCTCTCGCATCTTGCCGATTTCTTTTTCCTCATGTCGTTTCTCTTTTCTTTAACAAGAAACATTTCTTCACCTCAGTCTCAACCGATTAACAGGTTCGTTCAACAGTGGCATCGTTCTTGAAAAGGTAGCTGAATACTTCTACTATAACTACAAGAACCGCAATCGAGAGGATGTGCCCGACATGGCTATTCCTCCCGAGTTGTGCTTGGAGCTATTGATGGCGGCGGATTTCCTCGATAGTTCGTTGCTGCCCTTCCCTCGCCCGATATGCCAGCTTACGAGAGGTTCAGCATGACATACGAAGCATTGCAGACATAACATGGCGTTGGAAGATTCATGGGGAGCCTACGGCGTCTCTCGGGGATATTTTGTGAATGGATACAACGAACGACCTTTCGATTTCTGTCCTAGGTTTCGATGGTGAAACTTCTCTCTCGCATGAATGCACACGCCATCACGAGCATATACATTCAATCTCCATTTTCCATGAGTTGAACGTCTATAGTTGATGGCAGAACAACCTTCCCTCATGATCAAACCACTATCTGTATGCTGAACAGGGTGTGGGTTTCTACGAGGAGACATTCCCAGGACCCAGGACCAGATTCTGCACCTCTCGTGCTGTTTCCGCAGTCGCACAAGGCCGATTTTCTCTTCCCCATGGTTATCATTCCGGTGATTGAAGCTACTTTTTTCTACCTGCAATACACCAGCGCATCAGTAGTGCCCTTGCTTGGAAAATATACACTGTAGACCTAATCCTTTCATTCCGTCACCGCTGTTAAGATCAACGATACGGTCGGTTGTTGTTCCTTCGCACGATCAGTCGTGAACGCTTCCATCACAAAGTTAAAACCAAAGCTTAGCCAGGTTCCATCCCAACAAACATCCATCATAAATATTTATCCACTGTAGCGAAGACCAGACGAGTCATCTGAAAATCCTTTGGTAGCGAGCAACTTCTATCTCTCGGATCTTCACTTGGCTTTGTTGAAAAATCATTTGACGGACCATGCATGCATGTCGGTATGTCATGGAGGCTGGAGCAGATTCGCCATCGACTACGATATGCAACAAGGTTTTCCTGAGGTTTGGATATAGCGAAGTCGCTTCTGGATCTCCTGGTCATCGTCAACTTTGCCATGCTGAACTAATCGAAAATGAGGGCCATGTTCCACGAAATTTTTGAGTGGATTATCCGAGAAAGACATCCAGATGGAATTGACACCGAAGCTTGACCTCCAGAGATATATGTATATATATATGTATATATGTTGTGGAATTGCCGATCAGCTGGCTTGTACGTCCGAGGAAGGGGCTGCGAAACCCCCACTTACCCTCGTGACGACGGCCAGAGAACGACCCACAGGCAGACAATGGATATAAGTCGATGGAAAACTCCATTCCCAAGTGGTAAATGTGAATCGATTTCCGACCAGAATTCCCCTTCATTTCTCGAGAGTCAATCCCCAGGACCCGTACAACCAAATACCACTCGGTGGTCGTTCGCCACGCATATTTTGCACGACCTAGACGCCTCTCTCGGATTCAAAAATGGGACAACACTACAAAGAGATCGCAGCCATTGCTCTCAAGCGTCGAGCAGATGCCATCCCCAAAGAATTCCTCCTCCCAGAAATGGCTCTCACCGATCTCCCTCGGAATCTGACGACTGTCCCGAAAGACTCCGGCCACTTCACACCTGAAGAACTAGAGATCATCGACTCGGACGCCGAAGACATCCTGCTCAGGATCAAAGAGAGGAAATGGAGTGCTGTAGCCGTCACGAGAGCATTTTGCAAATCTTCGACCGTGGCTCAACAACTGGTCTCTCTTCCAACCTTATCCTCTGACATGAAAGAGCCGCGACTGATGATAAATAGACAAATTGCTTAACGGAGATCCTTTTCCCCGAAGCTCTTGCCCGCGCCAAGTATCTAGATGAGCATCTTGAAAAGACGGGCCAGGTGATAGGGCCTCTCCATGGTCTTCCTATCTCTCTGAAAGACTGCATGATCACTCCTCCGCATCCTTCATCTATTGGCATGGCGTGCTACGCCAACGAACCAACTACTCAGGAGACGATCCTCGTTGGGGTATTGGCGAAGCTTGGTGCGATATTTCATGTCAAAACAAACGTCCCCACGGCTATGATGATGATGGAGACGATCAACGTCGTGTGGGGCGAAACGATCGGGCCTTACCACAGCGGTACGAGTTGTGGTGGAAGTAGCGGTGGTGAGGGTGCCTTGCTGGCTACGAAGGGAAGTCCGCTGGGAATTGGGACAGATATCGGGGGAAGTATTCGGATTCCGAGTTCATTCAACGGCTTGTATGGGCTGAAGCCTAGGTAAGCCTGCGCGGCGATTCGTCGAAAAATAATTGACCAGAATCAAGTTTTGGACGATTTCCTGTTTACGGAACCCAGTCTGGTATCACTGGACAAGATTACATTTTCTCGAATAACGGACCGATGTCTAGATCTCTCGGAGCACTGCAACTCTACTGCAGAGCTGTCCTTTCAAACGAGGTCTCTCCGTGGAACTTGGATCCGAAATGTGTCCCGGTGCCGTGGAGGGAAGAAGTCATTCAGCCGAAAGGACGGAAACTGAGGTTCGGTATCGTATCTGACAATGATGGAGCCGTCAGCGTCCAACCACCCATCGCAAGAGGTCTAGCCATGACCAAAAAAGCCCTTGAAGCAGCAGGCCACGAAGTCTTCGAGTGGGAGCCCATTCACCACGCGGAAATGGCTGATGAGATGAACAAGAGTTTCCACACTTTGGGTGCGGCAGCAATTCTGGACCTGACGCTGCAGAATGGGGAGCCTGTGTATGGCTCGATGGCGAACTACGAGGCAACGTACAAGAAAGGTGAGCATGGAACACTTGGTCCTACAAAACTTCGTGAGATGATCATGAGGAGAAATTCGTTCCAGAAAGTGTATTTGGACAGATGGAATTCGACTGCAACGGATGAGAAGGGGCCTATGGATGCTATTATCATCCCAGCGTCTCCTTGGTCCGCTCCGAGACTGGGGCTTACGCAGACTCTGTTCAATGTTTCCTTCACTGGAGCTTTCAACGTCCTTGGTATGTGCATGCCTTCCCCCAAGCCAGATTGAGTCGGGAGCATGACTAAATTCCTGAGAAGACTACCCGTCCTGTACCTTCCCAGTGACGTTCGCAGACAAGGATCTCGATGCCCGGAGAGCGGCTGACTGGAAGCCTTTGAATGAGTTGGATGGAAAGATTCAAGAGGACTATGATCCAGAATTCTATCATGGGACTCCGGTGACTTTACAGTGCGTTGGTAGACGGCTGGAAGAGGAGAAGGTACTCGAGATGGTCAGTGTTATTGCTGAGGCATTGAAATTTTAGAAATTATAAACTCTCCACCTCGACGCGGAAGTTGTTGCAATTGTAACTAGATACAGAGAATATGCACTATAGAGGGAAAGTCGTCACAAATCCCCCCTCGGCTAGGCTGGAAGAGGTGAGTGTTATGGGATGTCCAGAATGCTTTAGAACCAACTTAGGTTGGTCTGGATGGGTAAGAGGGGGCTCGCTTCTTCTTCTTCTTCTTCTTCTTCACTCGCTTCTGGGCCGACAACGAACTTCGCCGAGAGAGAATGAGGTACACTATTTCACATATGCCGCTGCCTACTTGTGTGTACATGAGAATAATCCAGAGACATGAGGTTCATCGTCTATCTTCAAGCACCCAGGTTTCTAGAACTCTGCTCTCAATATCTTTCTCCAGGCACGAGAAAAGTAATCCGACTCATGCCCCGGCTAGTATTACTCGTCCAACCACAGAGCCGGATCGGGAGTCTCGTTCTTAAGTCTCTGTGTCTTCTTCTCAAATAAAGATGGGAGAGTGTTGGAATACAAATCTGACCTGGGGAAAAGCATCTTGAAAGGAAGCAAACTGTCGCCTGAGCGGTGTTGTTACATTGCTCGAGATTCAGGAGTTGCCTTTCGATTGTCTTTTGAGTGGTTGAACGGCCTTCCTCGTGATTCGTTCTAGCTCAGGGCATTCAAGCTTTTTTTCTTCAAAAATACCCGAACCTTAGTTTTGCCTATCTGATGTAGGGCATCAATCTACAACCCCTGGAATAGCAGTGGCGTACTTGGAAGTTATCTATTACCATCTGTAGGTAGCGGATATTAAACGAGAGACAATCAAGGATTTCATTCAATCCAAGTAGAAATTTTAACAATCCTCTCTTCTGCGCCACAAGTCTCTCAAGGGAACGTTAGGGAAACAAAGACAACAACAACAGCAACAAGAGGAGCGACGGCGTTTGTTGCCTGGACAACCAATCACCTTCCAACTCGTTCGTCATCGACACAACAACCTTCCTTGCGCGCAACATCCATCTCCTCTCCACTTCCACACCACGATTGCAACTCCCCCAACGCCCAAACTCCACACCCAAGATTCACATCAAGTTCGAGCGACCACCACCAAGTCAAAGAGAAAAAGAGAAGAAGAAAATGCCACCGACACGCAGATCCCGCACCTCCAGCGGCCCCGCCGCCGCCGCCGCCGCCGCGAAAGGCTCCTCCCAAAAGACCCTCTCCTTCGGCGCCAAAGTCTCGAAACCGACGACTCCCCACGGCAAAGCCCTCCTCGGCGCCACCGCCCCCACCGCCTCCGACTCCAAACCCTCCCCCCTCAGCAAGACCGTCTCGATCCCGCTCGCCACACCCCCCTCCACCGCCATCTCGCAAGCTCCCCCTACCGACATCGCCACCGAACCCGGCCACGCCGCCGCCGCACGGCAGCAAGGCCTCGAAGGCCAGAGCGCGGAGGAGCAGCGGGCGGCGAAGGTGACAGATGCGCAGATCAAGCGGTACTGGCGCCAGCGGGAGAGCGAGCGGGTGACGAGGAGGGTGCACCAGGAGGCGCTCGGGGTCGAGGAGAAGATACTGCGGCTGTGGGATGTGAGTTCGCAGTTTGGGGTATGTCGTCCTTCTCCCCCCCCCCTCTCTCTCATTTTTCCTTCCCATCTTCCCATCTTCCCATCTCTCGCTTCGATCTACGGGTCCCTTCACTGGGCAGGCCCCGTAAGGAGGAGCAGTGGGATATATGCATGCATGCAGTACTTAAATGCGAGGGTGGCAGCTGGCTGACCTGGTGTAGCCGGCGATTGGCATGGCGCGCATGAAGCGTTGGGTTCGTGCAAATAAGCTCGGCCTGAATCCGCCGATTGAGGTGCTTGCTGTGCTGTTGAGGGAGGAGGGGAAAGGGAATAAGGATATTGAGAGGGCGCATGTGGATGAGCTGATGAGCTCCAAGTTCGTGGTTGGGGACGTTGCGTAGGGTTTACGGGGGACGGCGATTGAGGTGGATGATTTGCTTTCTGCTACGGCATGCGGGAGTTGGATTGGGACTGGGAAGGGGGGATAATGGCGTCTGTTTGACTGTACAATAATGGTACAATAAATACACAACAGGAGATGGCTGGCTGGATGGACAGGTCCGGACGAAAAAGATACAGCCTTTGAAATCACCAAGGGTTCCACAACTACACTGAGTCATACTGGACTGGGTATGTGGTTTTTTTTGGTTTTTTTTAAGTTATGGATTGCACTTTTTTGGTCTAAATGCGACATACATACGTAAAACGAGTAACTCGAGAAGTTGATCTCGAAAAACCACCTCTACAACTGAACCTCCACGCGACCCTCGGCTCCTGGAGCTCCAGATGACAAAGATGGAAGAAGGTAGGTGATATCATCCCAAGGATGTCTGTACAAACCAGTGCGGAGTCTCTTTTGATCAAGGTAATGGGCAATCAAACCGATAGATCGTCCCAAGACGAACAGACCGTTCAAGACACCCATCTTCATGTAATCCTCAGCCTCCTCAGCACTGAATGCACCACAGTTGCGCATCAGGTCGACGAAGCAGACCGCGACAGCACCATCGACGTTCAGGATCAGGTTGTCCTTCTTTGAAGTTGTAACCGACTCAACAGCAAGCGCATAGTCGAGCATCTTGCAGCTGGGGAAGCGCTTCTTGACAAACTCCTTGACGAGCTCGACACGGAGATCAGGGTTGTTGCGAGACTTGACCTTGTGGCCGATACCGGGGATGAGTTTGTTCTGCTTGCGCATCGTGTCAACAAACTCACGTGGGCTGAGACCCTTATCGAAAGCCTTGGTGAATTCCTCCGCGGCACCGTCAAGGGCACCACCGAATCTCGACCCGATAGTCAACAGACCAGACACGAGGGCACTGATCAGATCCTTTCCAGCTCTTGTGGTGATGATGGTGTTCATGGCACCAGACACAGCCGGGCCGTGATCGGCAGTCAACATGAGAACCATCTCGAGGAACTTGCTGGCGTAATCGGGAAGACGGCGGCGGAACCACAGAAGCGACATGACACCGCCGATTCCGATATCCTCTTTGAAGACGTCTGAGATTGGCATACCAGCGTACAGAAGCTCTTGTCCACGATCATCTGAAATGGTGGAGATGAATGCAGCAGGCTTTCGGATGAGACCGAGTTCTTGCGCCCAGGCGTAATCGATTGGAATCTTTGGTACAATTGGCTCAGGTTGGGGAACGATGCTTCCGTTCTTGACAAGCTTCTGGTAGACCAACGCAAGAGTAGCTGGCATATCCTCAAAGGTGTCTGGGACGAAGAAACCGGCCTCCTTCATTGACTTGTTCTTGGTAGCGGCAGTCTCGAGTTGGGAGTTGGCAAATGAACCAGCGTGTCCGAATTGAACCTCAGTCTTGAACATGCTTGCGCAAGTACCAATAGCCCAGGCAACAATGGGCTTCTTGATCACTCCCTGCTTGACGGCCTCAATAACTCGGTATTCCTCAACACCTCCAACTTCTCCCAACAGCACAAGAATCTTGCACTCGGGGTCGGCTTCATATCGGAGGAGATGGTCGATGAAGGTTGTGCTGGGATATCTGTCTCCGCCAATGGCAACCCCCTCGTAGACACCGTCGGTTGTGTTGGCAATGATATTGTTAAGCTCGTTGGACATACCTCCAGACTTGGAGACGTATCCGACAGATCCCTTGCGGTAAAGCTTGGAGGCCACGATGTTGTCCATCATACCACCGGTGTTACCGATCTTGAAGGAGCCAGGCTTGATTCCACCGACAGTCGCAGGGCCGATGATGGTAATGCCTTTGCGCTTGGCGACGTGGAGGATCTCGCGTGCACGCTGCAAAACCGTCAGCCACGTATAAATGTTCGGGGATTTGAGGACTCACTCTCTCGGGGACTCCCTCGGCGATAATGGCAATCGACTTGATTTGCTTGAACTCCATGAGCTCCATGGTCGAGGTGTAGACACTGCGGGACGAGGCAAAGTTGACGACGGTATCGACATCGCTGTGCTTCTCCATAGCCTTGCTTACGTCTTGGTAGACTGGCAGGAGAGTCTCGCTGGTTCCCCAGTACATCTTGCTCACGAACTGACCACCGAAGGGGTAGATGATACCGGCCACCGAGGGAGTCTTACGCTTGCAGATGAAATCGAAATCGAGCATGCCCTGGACGGCTCTTGGTTGGAGACCGTACACGAAGCATCTTGTCTTGTCGTGGAAAAGGGTATGTTCCGCACGCGGGCTCAGAGGTCTGCTTGGGGCAGCGAATCTCTGGATGTTGTCGTTGGCACTGGGACCTGCTGATTTGGCAGTGCCATTGGTACCATTTGCTGCGGAGGGCATTTTGAATCGAGGAACAGATTGAGGGCACGGAAGAGGAGACGCGGGTCTTGTGCACAACAACCACGTTAGTAAGAGCAATTGTAATTATTGAAGATGAGAGAGAAAGAAGGGAAGATATCGAGATGATAGAGCTGACTGGCTTGCTGCACTTTGGGGGGGGGGGGATCTTCGGTGCAGGAATTGGTTGGGCGGAGATGGGAGATGGAAAATGGATGGGTAGCAGAGCTGAGATGGGTGGGCAGCAGAGCTGAGTAGAGCTGAGATGGATGCGTAGCAGAGCTGAGATGAGCTGAGATGAGCTGGGGCTGACTTACATAGTACAGGAGGATCCTGTAGACAAGACGAGCGTTGGTGAACGAAAGTTCCCGACTGGAAGAATCGAATGCGAGGGTGAGAGGGTTTGGTAGAAGAGTGCGAGATATAGGAGAGCGTGTGTGGTAGTAGTCGTAATGGATGTGAACAAGAGGGATGCGCCGTTGTTCTTTGAAAAGTTCCGGAGTTTTTAGTTCGGTCCTCTTTTTTTTTGTGTGGTTAAGAAAGACCTCCGGCCTGAAAAAAACGAGTCGGGCGAGCTTTGTTGAGTTCAATAATTTGACTTATTTGACTTAGTTTAAGCGTGTTGGGGTAACGGGAGCTCAACCATTGGGACAAGGGCAAACTCCGGCCTGCAAGCTGAGCGACCGACTGGACTTGAACAACTTTAGTTTTCCTCCATCTTCTGCTCTCGGTGGAAATATATTGCTTCTCACCGCAATTAGGTATCCGCCGGTCCGCTCTTATTCTCAATCCAAATCCAAAGCCAAAGCCAACGGCCATTCCCAATCCATCTCGTCTCTTCTCTTCCCATCATATCCCCCCACGAAAATCTTTCAACTCTTTTCTTAAAAATCCCTCCCGTACGCTGAGTCTCCTCCGCATACATCATCCACGAAGCAACGAATAACGCCCCGTTGCATTGAGTCTGAGTCGTCGCCCTAGAATTAAGATTCATCTCGTAAGTTGGTTTGGTCCTATTTCTCAACTTTCTTGGACAAACAAGCTGCAATATCCCTTCGGCATCGGCCTTCATCCGACCTTTTTGAGTCGTACAATCGGTATCTATCTCGAGTCTGCGACCTGCATTGTCGACTCAAAGCTGTCCTTCCGTCCGACACACCTGTTCCTCCAAGGGCTTGCTGCTGGGCTCTCCCCTTCAAAGGCTACACCTCCAAGAAAGATCGTGGCTATCCACGACTCCTGTACATTGTCAGCCAAACGACGGCAGAAAAATTCCTCTTACTGACGAAGCATCCTAGAAACACAATTCGAATCCTTCGCAATGGCCGCCAAATCCATTCTCGAAGCCGACGGAAAGGCTATTCTCAACTACCACCTCACCAGAGCTCCCGTCATCAAGCCGTCTCCTCTCCCCAAATCATCTACACACAATCCCCCTTCGAAGCTCGCTTCCCTCTACTTCCCCGAAGATGCGGAGGTCATGTCGATTCTGGACCAGGCCGAGGTCTCATACCCTTGGTTGCTGGTGCCCGGCTCCAAGTTCGTTGCAAAGCCCGATCAACTGATCAAGCGACGAGGCAAAAGTGGACTTCTGGCCTTGAACAAGACATGGCCCGAGGCGAAAGCGTGGATTGCTGCTCGTGCTGGCAAGGAACAGAAGGTTGAGACTGTTGTGGGTGTCCTGAGACAATTCTTGGTGGAGCCTTTCGTGCCCCATCCAGACGGAACCGAATACTATATCAACATCAACTCGCAGAGAGAGGTACGTTTACCGTTCTTGTTACCTTTTCCAACGAGTCCCGTCGGGACAATCGCACTTGGCCAGTGAAGTGTAAGGCATGTTCTCCACAGGCTTGAACCATGTGCGAACTCCAAGAATTATTCTTGTATTCCTGCGAGTGCAGGAAATAGCAATTGGATCATGCAAACGACCTTTCTCCATGCGGGCAGCAACAGCCTTCTGTTGCTTGCGGCCCAGACTCGGTAGGAGAGATGGTACGGACGACCGGAGGCTTGAGGGATCAATTACCCTCATAAATTGGCCCACCCTTATTATCGAACATCACCTTGAGATGCAATTTCGTGGCTGCATCACGCGTCTGCGGAACCTTTGCTGGGAACAGGGCTACACGCTGATACTTCCCGGGTGTCAAACATCTACCCAATGAGCGCTTCATGCTATCTTACCACGTGCTGACCATGTTTGCTTGTATAGGGTGACTGGATTCTGTTCACACACGAGGGAGGTGTTGATGTTGGTGATGTCGATGCCAAAGCTGAGAAGATCTTGATTCCCGTTGACCTCTCGGAATACCCATCCAACGACGAGATTGCCTCCACGCTCCTCAAGAAGGTCCCCAAGGGTGTCCATAACGTCCTTGTCGATTTCATCACCAGACTATACGCCGTTTACGTCGACTGCCAATTCACCTACCTCGAGATCAATCCCCTCGTCGTCATCCCCAATGCCGATGCAACATCTGCTGAGGTCCACTTCTTGGATTTGGCCGCCAAGATCGACCAGACGGCCGAGTTTGAGTGTGGTGTCAAATGGGCTATTGCACGTTCGCCAGCTGCTTTGGGTATGGCTGCCATCAAGTCCTCTGATGGAAAGATGAACATCGATGCTGGCCCACCTATGGAGTTCCCCGCTCCTTTCGGTCGCGAGATGAGCAAGGAGGAGGCGTACATCGCCGAGCTCGATGCTAAGACTGGTGCCTCTCTCAAGCTTACCGTGCTCAATGCCAACGGACGTGTATGGACCTTGGTCGCTGGTGGTGGTGCTTCCGTCGTTTACGCCGACGCGATTGCCAGCTCTGGCTTCGCGGACGAGCTCGCCAACTACGGTGAATACTCTGGTGCTCCCACCGAGACGCAAACCTTCCACTACGCGCGCACTGTCCTCGACCTCATGCTCCGCGCGCCCATCACCCCCGAGGGCAAGGTCCTCTTCATCGGCGGTGGTATTGCTAACTTCACCAACGTCGCCTCCACCTTCAAGGGTGTGATTCGCGCTCTCCGCGAGGTTGCGCCCAAGCTCATCGAGCACAAGGTCCAAATCTGGGTCCGACGTGCCGGACCTAACTACCAAGAGGGATTGAAGAACATCAAGTCGGTCGGACAGGAGTTGAAGCTGGACATGCACGTTTACGGACCCGATATGCACGTCAGTGGTATCGTCCCTCTGGCGCTCGTCCCCGGACGGTTGGCAGAGAGCAAGGTCGAGGAGTTCAAGGCTTAAGCATCAATTCTGGCTGGTTCACCGCTCTACGCAATTTGTCGGGACGAAGCAGATAACGGCGGCATAGCATGTGTTGCTTCGGACTTTACCCTAGATACTCCTAATGCCTCGGCTTTTGAGACGACCGCTTTTGTAATGTAGAGAGGGGATGGACAAAAGTAGAAATATTGATGGTTCTCGCATGATTCCACGCCCCGTCTTTCCACGTCTTGCTTACCAGCCTGAGTGGCTCCAGTCCGAGGCAAGATGCCGATTCCCGTCACATGCCGTCATATGACTCTCGACTCTCGGCGCAAGTTGGGAATCAATCACCTACCGTAACCGTGCGCCCGTAAGGGCCGTGTTGGTAAGTCTCCCGAGCGCTGATGCGGAGCCATTCCCTCTTTCCTAATCCGGATAATGCGCGAGAAAGTCCGGTCGGTCGGTCGGTCGGTAGGTGGGCAGCCAGCATCCCAGCGAGAGTAGAGAGGGTTTCAGCAGCAGCAGCAGCAGCAAGTGAAAACCTCGCTCTGGTCCTCCACGTCCCGGAAGCGATCCCCGAGGTACCGTAGATGCGAAAGGGGGGACGATAGAGCGGCCTGTCTGTCATCTCTCCCTACCGTACCGTACCTATTTCCATCTCCATCGTGGTGGCTTGGTACGTAGTACGTAGTACGTAGTAAGCTGGCCTGGGTCCGAGCTGCAACATTGGTTGGTTCCGGCTGCTGAGCTTGCCCGTATGGTGGTAGCGGTAGCGTGGTTGCATGGTTACAGTCCGTTCGTGGGAGACGGTGGGTAGGTAGGTACGTAGGTAGGTACCTACCTACTTACTTTCTTCAACCCCCTCCCTCCCCTTCCCTTTCCCCAACTGCCCCCCCCCTCCCCTCTCTCACCAACCGAGTAGGTACCAGTACCAGTACCAGTACCAGTAGGTATCCACGTACAGTACGTACTACGGTATACCGTACAGTACAGTATAGTATAGTACAGTATGGTACAGACCCAACAAGCCTCTACCGTACCTCCACCATCCACCATCCATCTACCCCTCCCCCCCCCCACCTTTCCCCGCTCACACCCCTTTTCCCCAAACATCTCACTCACAGAACGTACCCGAGGCCGAGGAAACAGTATGGAAGGAAGGGAAATCATGCTGAAGCAATGAATCGAAAACGTCCATTGATCAGCGACCAAACAACGTTGGGAGCTATATTAAACACTATCCGCCAGTCATCACTCATGAGTCTGCCGTTTCCGTAGTAGCGCAGAGATATGTACCGTCCGAAAACCAAACGGCCCAAACGAAAGCCAAAGATCGTCCCTCGTCCATCATTACACCTTCTCCAAAGCAAAAGCATATGCAGAAAGGAGACAATCTTGCCCTTCAAAGCTTCAGAGCAAAGATGTCCATCCCACCACAAGGGCCGCTACCCCAAATAACAACGCAGAGCGGGCCCGCAACTTTCCAGCACCGGCCTTCTTCGTCGTGGTAGCGGCTGGAGTGGCACTTGTGGTGGTCGACGGCTGTATCGAATTGGGGGTGTTACTCGCGTCACTGGGCAAGGGGGTGATAGCCAGGTTCTGCATCACATTCCCGTTGCTCGCCTTGACCTGCTGAGTAACCTTGGTAGCCGTCACTGGGATAATTTTCCCCACAGGAGCATTCTTGATGCCGCTCTTGATAAGATCCGCGACTCCGGGAGGCATGTCTGGGATTGTGAAATTGTTTGCAAACCCCGTATTGACGATCAGCGAAGCGGTGCAGTTCGGCGCAGTTTTCATGGCACCGGCAGCAGCCATGCTCTGGAGGGCGCTTCCGTTGAGGCTACTAAACTGCTTCTGCAGTGTCTCGTAATCCGCGAGGAGATCGGCACTTCCGTCGCTATTCAGCGTCACAAGACCATAATTCGACGCCTCCTCTGTATACTCGTATACTAGCCCACCGGAAAGGACAGGCGTGACCTGAGATCCGTACAGAGAAGGAACTTCGGTAAACACTCGTGGGTAAGGTACATTGCATCCATATTCGGAAAAGAACACAGGGACGCTACTGTTGGCAAAGCTTGACACCAGGGCATCATACCCGGACGTCTGGAAGGTGGACTCGCCACACCAGCTGTAGGAGTTCAGTGCGAAGACGTCAACTCTGGAAGGGTCCGAGTTGTCCCCTGTTGTTGTGCACTGCAGGTAGTTCCAAGTGTCGAGAAGGTTCTCACGAACATCGGCTGCAGAATAGCCCACCGGAATTACTCTGGTCGAATGTTTCGCAATATAGTCCTTGAGGTCTCGAGTGATGGCCTAGACAGGGTCAGTACGATTTACAATACTGCTGCAGTGTGGCTGACTGACTCTCAGGTATGGAGGAACTGCCTTTCCCGTATCCAGATCGTTGACAACCTCATTTCCGGAGAAGAACAGCAAAGTGTTTGGGTAGCTTTTGAATGCCTCGACGACGGCAAAAGTTCTGTTGACATATCCTACATAGTAACTCTCCCACGGTGCGGTGCGATCGAGACTCTCGCCAGTCAGAGGAGAATTGACGTCAACCAGCATATATATTCCAACCTGTAGACATCAGCGCTTGCGAAAAAAGGTGATGTTTTTGGACATAACGTACGGCGTTGAAAATGCTGGCGCAACCATCATGGTTTATATTCGGATCAACATTGTAGACTCGAATCGCATTGACGCCTGTCCCTATCAGCCATACCCTCCCCCCAAAGTTCTATGTGTCCCGAGAACGTACCCAATCGCTGCATCAACGCCGCGTCGCGTAAACAAACACCGGCATCACTCAACGGATCAACACCACTTCCAGGATTGTAACCAGAGGAACCTCCCGGCTGGTATGCGACTCCCACGATCTGAAATCTAGCTCCAGTGACCGAGTTTACGAGATCTGAACCTTTGACAACGATTGTTTGAACTGCAATTGCGCTGGCTGCGAGCAGTGCGAGGATCGCGAATTGAAGCTGGGAGGATAATAATAATAGTATTAGCTATCGCTAGCTATCGCAGGCTGAACAAGCCCATGGGTGGAGCTGCTGCGATCACTAGGAGTGCCCGGCGGGCTCCACTTACCCATCGAAACATGGCTCTGGCTCTGGAATCTGCCCAAGTGGACCGTCCCTACGTAGTTTGCCGATCGAATTCGTATTTGTCGCAGCGGCAATCGAATATGCGACGAATTGATTTTTCTGGAGAAAAAACAACTGTGTGGGAATATGGGGGAACGACAGCAGCGAGAGTGCAAAGAATGTAAGAGAATCAGTGTGCAATTGGCGAAGGCGATGGAGACTGGAAATACTGGCCGGCTGGACATGGACATGGACATGGACATTGAAAGCCCCTGCCACTCCGTCTTGACGGGGGCTAAGCTCATTCTGGGCAGGCTTATTAAAGCTTGGCCGGCGGAAGCTTGGCGAGGGCGGACCTCCTCGCTCAATCCAGCCTGATCCGGCACCTAAAGTCCGACCCGGTTTTCGGAGATTAGATTGTGTATGATTTGGATACTTTGGACCCACGTGATATGAACTCCCCACAAGCACAGGGTCTTCCGTAATGCGGGGAATCGCGTGGTTACAATCGGGTCAACAAACCTCAGACGTCGCAGGTTTCCTCGGGGCATCTTCATCTTCATCTTCAGCCTCTCTCCTCCGGCTCTCGATGTAGATATGAAGCCATTGCCGACCGGCTGGAAATGCAGAATTCCTTGAGAAAGCTGCTCCGACCCGCCCAGTAGAGAAGTCAAGGCTAAGAACTCAACTACCTACCCGATCGACAATGAGGATGCCACGGTTATTACCATTGAGGGCTCGCGCCCTATCCAGCTCAACCAGGCCGAGCATGTCGACAAGACCTCTGCTCTGCCAAAGATGGTCCTCCTCTCTCGGCCAGAAGCCCGGAGCTACGAGGTGAGTTTCCCCCAGTCGATCAGGAGAGAAAGAAGAGAGTCCGGCTGATGCTATGCGCAGCGTGCGCTTCCCCGGCGCCATCCACTCCCAATTCTCTAACACCCTGAAATTTTACCAAACCCCATCGCCCATAGACACCTACCGCACCATGTCTCAAGACGGTGATATCGTAGACGCAGACTACACGCCCGAGTCTGACGCCATCGCTCTCGGGTTGTACGAGAACATGCTCAAGGTGTCGATTATGGATATGATCATGTTTGATGCGCAAAGACAAGGGAGGCTGAGTTTCTACATGACGGGCCAAGGAGAGGAGGGGACGTGTGTGGGAAGTGCTTCGGCGCTGGCCGCGGAGGACGTGCTGTTTTGTCAGTATAGAGAGGCGGGTGTGTTTGTGCAGAGGGGATTTACGTTTGATGATTTTATGAGCCAGCTTTTTGCGAATGTCAAAGACTCGGGCAAAGGGAGAAATATGTAAGTGGAATATGTCTTCCATCTTCCTCGTCTCGACTGACTCCAAATAATAGGCCAGTCCATTATGGCAGTAAAGCATTGAACATTGTAAGCCCTACCCGAAGCACCCCAACTACCGTAACTAACAATCCCAGCACACGATCTCCTCCCCCCTCGCAACGCAACTCCCCCAAGCCTCCGGTGCTGCATACGCTCTAAAAATGCAGCGGCTCACTAACCCCAATATCCCACCTCGAGTGGTAGCCTGTTATTTTGGCGAAGGTGCCGCTAGCGAGGGCGATTTCCATGCCGCCCTCAACATCGCCGCGACGCGCTCCTGTCCAGTAATCTTCATCTGCCGCAATAATGGGTATGCTATTAGCACTCCGACCCTGGAGCAATATCGCGGCGACGGTATCGCCAGTCGGGGCACCGGCTATGGGATCGATACTATCCGGGTGGACGGTAATGATATCTGGGCCGTGCGAGAAGTGACGAAACGAGCACGGGAATTGGCGCTAAAAGATGGAGGAAGACCGGTGCTGATTGAAGCCATGAGCTACCGGATCTCGCATCACAGTACGAGCGACGACTCGTTCGCGTACCGTGCGAGGGTCGAGGTTGAGGATTGGAAGCGGAGGGATAATCCCATCACGAGATTGAGGAAGTATTTGGAGAACAAGAAAGTCTGGGATGAGGAAAAGGAGACTGCGGCGAGAGCTAGGATCAGGAAGGAAGTACTGAAAGCGTTTGCGACGGCGGAGAAGGAGAAGAAGCCGGCCATGAGAACCATGTTTGAGGACATTTACGAGGAACTGACGCCGGAGATCAGAGAGCAGATGAAGGAGTTGAAAAGCGTCATTGAGAGATATCCGGATGAGTATGATGTTAGCGAGTTCGAGGGGGGAAAGGAAAGTTTGGCGCCATAGCCATATGAAAATCACATCTGACCAACCATCTCAACCATCTCGGCGTGGGTGTTGCAGTGAAGCATCCAATAGTTTCTACTCAAGAGTGGTCTCTCTATCGTTTGCATCATCCACCGTACAAGCCTGCAGGAGGCACGTCTCCGGCCATACATATCTTCTTGCCAACAAGTACATACCCAACGTTGATCCATCCCGAAATGTAATCCAGAAACTCCACCCAACTGCATCATAAAATCATCCATCTAGAACACCGTCACCTCCTCTTCGCGACACCAGTAACTAGCAGGAACCCGTTATTTCCCCTACTCCCCACCTGAATATTCCAGCCCTCACGAAGCAACATCTTGCCCACTGCCGGGCCCAACTTCCCGTGGCCCCCCGAGCTATGATTCCCCGCGCCCGTCACAATCTTATAGACAGGCACCGCGCCGCCCTTCCCGTGTGCTTTTCTCTCCTCGCTAGACTCGTGCCACCACCGCGTGACAGCCTCCCGGCTGATCCTCAACGCGTCCTTGACGTTCATCCCGTGCAGATCCAGCTCAAGGCGTGTGCTCTGGCTCGCGACCAAGGCGTCTGCGGCGGCGCTGGCTGCGATCTTGACTTTGGCGTCGAGGTCCCGGCCAACTTGAGAGTAGTAGGCTGCGGCGCCCCCCATGAGGGGGCTCGATTTTCCTTTGCGGTATGCAGCCTGGGCTTGAGCGAATGCGGTGTTCCGTGCTTGGGAGTATTCGGCTGTGATTTGGGCTGATCTGGCGACGTCGAGAGGTCTGTCTGGGTACACTACACTCTGTAGCTTGGGCTTAGGTCTTGGTGCCGGTTCGAGCTGTATAGGAGCGTGTCGGAATTCGATTTGGATCGAATTCTTTCTGCTCGTGGTTGGGGCAGCTAGTGCTTGGAGAAGTTCCCGAGCATCGGCTACAGAGGGGTGAGTAATCTGAAGCAGGGTCTCCAAGTCAGAAGTCGATACCGAAGGAAACTCTTCACGAAGCTCAAAGGCGTTTATCTTTATGACTGGGTCATCGCTGTCGATTCCCATAGCTGCATGAGCCTGGATGATAGCTGCAATCGACGCGCGGAGAGAGCCTCCATGGTTGTGATAAATGGAGCTGATTTGCTTTACAGGAAACCCAGTCTTCTCAGAGAGGAAGTCGATGTCTTGCTTCCCCAGATTCCATTTACTTTCCACGGGAGATTCCGCGACGGGACTAGCAGGACTGGTTGGATTACTTGTCTCCCCCCCCTTCCGCTTCTTCTTGCCCTTGCCCTTCCGCTGCCGAGGCGCAACCTCGCTCTCAGAGAATGCTTCGATGCCACGGTGTCGGCTTCCACTTTCCTCCAGAAACGCCTGGGTCATCAACTCATCAATAGCTTGGCCGGCATCCCATTTGCACTTCCTCAGGGTCCATGTAATATCGAAGGGTTTGAGTGCAGGAAAGATGCCGATCAGCGCCTTCTCCTTACCCACCTCATCTAGGCCGTCAAGCTCACTCGGGTATGGTTTTTCTGGGCTCTCATCTCTGATGCTTGTTCCTAGATCCAACCCCTCCAAATCGAGCGTCTGCGGATCCTGGGAGACCGAGGTGCTATCGGTCTGACTCTTGCGCTGGCTGGTGCTAGTGCTTGAGTCTTCACCCCTCGAGCTCTGGTTTTCGTTCGTAAAATCGATTCCGCTGGCACCACTGGGGTCGAATCCTGAACTCTCCTCCGTCGAAGCGGAAGCTTTAAGGATGTCGAGTGTCTGTCGGGCTTGCGACAGGTCGCTGGGATTGGAGATATCGTAATCCGAGAGGATTGCTAAGATTGTTGAGGACTCAATCGATTGCGAATACTCATCCTGAATAGAGGTATTAGCAAGCACAAAGCCACCGTTACCGTTAAATTCACGGTCGCTGGAAGTGCATACAATCAATTCAGCTTGGGTCTTGTCCATCACCACCACAGATGCGCTGCGCGTCGGGCGCAAGGCAGACAATCAAATTATTCCAAATACTGAATATGGGGGGTTTCCGCAAACAGCTATTTGGCATAGATATGAAGGATTGCTTGTCAAGAGAAAAGAACATGGCGCGCGGCGAGATGTGTAACGATGGGAAAAGAGGTTGTCGCCGCAAACTGTCGTGGAGCCATCGTCATCGGGACAAGGAAATGCCGACGCTAGAGCAAAACTGGAGGGATCGGCTTGTGGTGGATGTTGGTCCTGGTTGGAACCTAAACATCTCATCGTCCGGCTCGCTCAAGTACCGAGATTCATCGTGCTATCTTCAAAAGGTAAGAAGGCACGCAATAAACCTAGATGATGGGATAATTTGGGGAGAGTGATTCAATTCATTGATCTAGTGATGTGCGAAAGCTAGAAACCAGTAGTCATTCATCATGTCCACGACCCTTTCCCACCTTGCGCCCAAACGACCTGTCCATGCAATTTGGCGAATGATCCCAGGACCTGAAATTGGTGGAGGGAAAAACACCATAGTAGAAGCTCGTAAATACATAATGCGCCAAGGAAGCGCTGATGGCCGTGACATGAAGTCTGTTGGCCGAAAATCTTTGCTCAATCCTCCCAAGTTCTCCAAACTCTCAAATATCAGCACCCTATGATAGATGGAAAGCGCCCTGCCCTTCCTTGATGGCAGTCGTCATTCGGCGTCTCATAACTTCTAGATCGGTATAGTCAGGTAACTTCAAGTAGTTGACGCAGGTCATGACGCTGGGAAGGTAGTCATCCGACGTGTAAGGTGGCTCGCTTGGCTTGCAAACCACCGTGAACATGGGAGTCAGGGACTTGAAACCTGCAAACGTCGTTAACAAAGCACACTACTATACATAGGAGGTGGAAGGATGCTCCTACCTCCAATTGGAAGTTTAGGGCTGCCGGTAGTGAATTGCAAGAAGTCTCGCCGCTCAGGCAGCGTCAACTCGCTCATAGTCTGAAGCAAGTTTCTGACACTCTTGCTGTCCATGTTGAAGCCATGATCGGCCTTGATAGAATCCATGAGAGCTGGCAAAAGTTAGCAACATGACGGACAGTAAACAACTTTGAGGAACTTACTTTCAAGTGTCCAATCTTCTTCGATGCGACCAAACAGCATCACCAACTCATCGGGTGTGAACGCACTCAATGCAGTATATGGGAAGACTTGTGTGAATCCTGTTCTAAACGCATCGACTTGTCTCGCCACACCACTACCCAAAGTCATATCGATGACTCTGTCCAAGTAAAGTTGAACGTTGTCAATAGTTACCGAGATCGATGATCCATGGGGCAGCAAATCGATGGCGTAACCAGGAAGAGTGAAGTCAAGCCCCAAGTCATCGATTCTCATACCATCAATCGTTAGCGCCTCTGCGTTGGCTACTTTCTGAGCGGGGGTGAGATTGGGGTTCTCGTCGATGGCTTTCTTCGCAACGGCATACTTCTTGATCAACTTCAGGGACTTTGCCAACTGTGGGTCCACTGTCTTCACAGCTCCCAAAGAGGGAGGTACCGTCTTCGATTCGTCACCGATGCGGAAGAAAGTTGGGTTGAAGGAAACGTCGATGATTCTAGAATCAATCATCGATCTGGCAACGAACTTTCCGAGCATCTTGAAGATGTGCAGGATCCGCTTTCCATTCTCATTGGATGCCTGCTCCTCGCTCATGGGCGCAGGGAAAAGACCTCGGGTCCCAAAAGCATACTCGTCTGAATCACTGGTCTCCATCTCGCGCCAGAGCTTGAGCTTCTTCTTGGAGAACTCCTTTGAGACAGTTGAATAAAACTCCAAGGTCGGTCCGAGGCCGGTACCAACTTCGTCAAAATACTCGACCTCCAAGATACTCTGGGAAGCACCGTAAAGTTCCATGACTTTCAGGGCACTCTCCAAAATCTTGGATCGAGAGATTCGTACCTTTTGACGTTGCAAGCGGCCGAGAAAGGGGCGCTCGTCACGGTGACGATCACGGCGGGATTCATCGGCAGATTGGGCGTTTTGCCATCTGGTCATGGATCGAGCATATCCAAATGAAGTTGATTGCAGGAAGAGGTGTCGAGTCTCAAAAGGAAAGAGAAATGGGTAAAGGCGGGCCAGATCCTCACTCCAGCTTGGTAGGCAATTACTCGCAACGACGAGAGGCTCTTCGAGCTGTCTATTGAGCTTGGCGGTAAGCTTTGTGTTGACAAATTGCGAAAGTGGCTCGGCGTTGAGCTTCACGGTGTCCTTGTTCTCGGCCAGAACGTCATCCAGGTTCGCGTTCAGAGCATGTAGAATGTTGAGCAATCGAACGATGGATGATGTAGCCGGGTGCTTGTCCAAAGAGGCTGGAATACCAGATGCAGTTGTCTCTGTGCTAATCTCCGGAGCCTGTGTGAGGGAAGTAGGCTCAGGAGCTGGTGGGCCTGGGACGCGCTTGAAGCTGATTGGATGGACAGCCGACCAGACGCTTCTGCTGCTTCCATCATCGACAGTTGTGGAAGTGCTGTGGACCGCCCGGTAGATGGTCGTCTCGTTAGAAATAACCTTACCGTCAAGACTGAACTCGATGTGCCAGTCCTGAGGTATAGCTTGAATGGCAGCAGCATAAGACATTGGCCGAGACGATGTGCTGGGTGTGGTCAACGCTGCTTGCGCAGCTGCAGCTGGCAGTGCCGAGGCGCTGCGGGCATTGCTGCCTGGCATCTGCGATGGAGTACCGACTCTTTCTCCTGTCTCTTTGCGAGCGGTGACCTTGCCTCCAACGGCCACTTCGAGATTGACGGCCGTGGGGTCACCCAGAGGCTCATCTTCCATTTCTTCCTCCAAGTCTCCTACGATGGCATCTAGAGCAGCGCTATCCTCCATGTCCATGTCATCGTCCTCGGTCAGTTGTCGTTCGTCGGCACATTCCAGAGCTCTGGCCAGACTGTCCTCTTCTTGCAATGGGGGAGGGACTGGTGTTTCTGCCTGGGCTTGACGTCTGCTTGACCGCCGAGCACTGGTCTTCTCCTTGGGAGTGTTTGTGGAGGAAGGTCCACCAGCAGCTGCAAGTCCTGGAGCTGTCTTGGATTTCGACTTTCGAGAGCCTCGAGATGCGGGTGGAGGAGCGCTGGGCGTGGCAGCATTCGCCGACGTCAAACCTCGTTCCAGAAGACGGCTCGGAGCTGTACCAGCGTAAGGATTGGGCATGCCCGCGGCCGCAAGAGCAGCCAACGCATTCGTGATACCCTCTCTTCTCGATACTCTGGGTGGACGCTCTGAGAGACTGATTCTAGGACGGAGATAATCATCGAGAGCTTTGAATGTTGCAATAGCGTGGATAGACACCATGATATTTTGATACATCTTTGGGATCTCAGAGTCATCGCCTGCCACAAGCTTCAAGCGAATCTGCTTGGCTAACATCGATGCAGCACTGCTCCTGTTTCCATCAAAGGTATTCTGGTGAACAGTGAACACCTCAAAATGTTCCGAGCGACTTAACAGGTCTTGCAGCTTGTGAACGAGGATGCTGAAAGGTGTAGCAGGAGACTCGGCGCTGGTGGTCTTGGGCTTATTGGCAACAGTTCGACCCATGAAGACTTCCAGGAAGGCTGAGCGAGCACTGTTGCTGAGGTTCTCGTCCGGGTTGTTGAAAACTTCGAGCAACACTCGGACAACTTCGGAGTTGAGCAATTCAGCGCTGGTGACACTCTCCAAAACATCGCCATCAAATGACTCTGCAAGGGTACTGAAAAGCTTGATTCCATCACCTGGCTTGCCATGCAAGTAGTGAGCCTCGATGTCTGATGCCAGTTCTTGTAGGCTTGTTAAAATTTTAGTGGCTTCCTTCTTCAGGCCCTTGCTACTCTTCTCATTTTCGTGCACATCCAGAAATCTTTGGGCTCGCATGGCAATAAGCTGCTGCATGCTGGTGGCATCTGTGGGGAGAATTTGTGGTGGGCCGTCGAGAGACATCGTAGATCCCCGAGAACTAGGAGATGGACTGATATCATCTTGGTTATCATCGTGATCATTATCATTGTCATTGTCCTCGTCGTGATCCTCGTCCGAAGAATCGTCGTCATCGTCTCCCGGTACACGGCTGGCCTTCTGGGATATTCTCCCAGCCTTACTGGCTTCGCAAGGCTCCGCAACTTCGACAGGCTCCGCAACTTCGATAGGCGGAGGCTCTTCAGTCACAGGCTTGGTAACTTCTTGGATGGTAGCAATCTTTGCAATCTCTGTAATGACCCCCTCGCGATAGAACTGATAGCGGTAGATGTCATCAAGGCGAGCCAGCAATAATTCTGCTGCTTGGAGAGCATAGTTTACAAGACTGGAGTGGTCTTGCTGGGACAGGATTGCGGCTAGGAAAGAGGCGTATGGCACAGTTCGAAGTGCCTCCATCAAAATTTCTTGGTCGAGATTGGACAGCATCTTGATCTGCGCCGTCAATACCTTCTGTCGTACACTCAAGTTGACTGTGCTCGAAAATGCATCCGTTAACGTCGGGAAAAGGATAATAGCGAATCTCTTCACCTCGTCCTTGCATCCCTCGAGAAGTTCGAGTCGCTTCTCATTCGACGACTTCTTTCTAGAGCCCGATGAAGAAGCAGTAGCCGCAGCGGATGAAGCGTCGGTATCCAGGAGATCTTCGGCGGTCATGGCAGAATCTCTAGGCATTCCGGGCAGCAACTCACAAATGACGTTGAGTGTTTCAATGACTTGCTCACGGGGTCTGTGGATCAGGGCTTGCATAACCACGACGCTGTCTAGCTTCGACGATACATTTTCTGTAGCATCCGGAGGAGACACGCCGGTCAAGATTTGGTATAGCGTCTCAACAACGTTCATCTTGAATAGCTCTGCAGACAGTCTTGCACTGGCTTTGGCTGTGAACGCCAGCACTCTCAAGAATTGTGTGTGGATACTTGGCCCAATGAGATTTGTTGTGCCTGGTAATAACAGTCGGAGAATGGCCTTGAGCAGGTCGGTACTGACAAGCTCTTCTAGCTTGCTAGGGTGGTATCGGAAACTCTCTACAACTCGTGAGACACAAAGGGAGCCTTGTTCGACAACCTTTTGATCGTTTGAACTGAGCACGTTCAGCAATATTGGCATTACGTCCTTGATGATGCTGAAGGATTCCTCTGCGATGTTCCGGCAACAGTTAGCAGCGGTAGTCACAGCGCTTCTTTGTGTACTAGTGGGAAAGAAGTCAAGATATGTCAAGCAAGCAGTTAGACCTCCTTCACGAACAATGGCTGAGGGGTATTCGACTGAGATCTTCTCGAGGGTCTGGAATAGGAATGTTAGTCAATGCTCCAAGACTTAGCGGGCGGGGAAACCTTACGCTCAGGGCCTGCTCAGCCAAATCGATGAAGTGAATCTCCAATAGCTTCGCGCAGAGAACGGGAACAGCCCCTCCGTACACGACATTTGCGGTGCTAGCTGGTAAAGCTTCCATCAAATTTGCAATACAGCGACAGGCCAGGAGCATCATCTCTGGGTTCTCCTCTCCGAAATCAGAAGGCTGCATCAGTACAACAAGCTCTTTGACAAAGGCGTCGGGGGAGAAGTGTCCGGCAAGATTATCTTCCGTGGATACCAACAGAATTTCAGATAGTTCTTGGAGTGCGATTAACTGTACTGATGGGTCATCCTTTTGCTTCATATTGGTCAGAATATCCCGCAGTCTCGTAGAGACTCCAGACATCATGCCACTCAGAGCTCTCAATGTGCTCGACAATCCATGAGGAGGTCCTCCAGGGCCACCAAACCCTCCGAACGGGTCATCGTCGTCTTCTTCGTCGTAGTGATGGGCCATCTCTTCGTCTTCGTTATCATCGCTACCATCGTCGTCGCCAGGAGGAGGCGGAAGTTTGTCGTCTGGGGTGTGATCCGCGTTCTCGCCGTCCTTAGTGCCACTGACTGCCTTCTTCGATCGGCGAGCGGAGCTTGGGGTGGCCGTTGCATCTGCTTTTGCGTTCGTTAGGTGTGCCGCAGATGGTTTCGCCATGCGGAGTGACAAACCTTGACCACTCTTCTGTTTTCTGGATGACTTGCGTTTGGAGGAGCCCGAGACGGTCGAGGGGGGATCGTTGGATGGACCGGCAGAATCACTAGGAAATATTTAGCATTCAACGATGAGGTGTGCTAACAGGCTACCTACCCAGGACTAGACATAACCGCAGGAGTCTTTCCCTTTCGAAGGCGAGACGGAACAGATGCTTTAAGGGCAGGAGGTACAGAAGGTGCAGGGACTGCTGTATCTGACTCCACGACCTTCTGACGCTTGGTACGTCTACCCGATGATACCTTTGCTGGTGCCGGCTCGGGGACGGGACTGGTCTCTCTGGCGGGCGCCTTGCGCTTTCTCGCCGCCGATGTGGGCGGAGGGGGAGGTTGATTCGGAACGGGTGCGGAAGCTCCTGCAGAAGCAGCGGAAGATTCTGACGAGCTGGCTGCCTTGGACGCCGCTCTCGTGATTCTGCTATTTGAGAGAGGCATGAGTACTCTGATCAGCGGGCATGTATGTGTATGTATGAAGGTATGTGTGCGAGTTCGGGAGGAGGTTGACGTGGACCGTCGAAGAAAATGGTAGATGAATGGAAGGGTGGAAGGGTGGAAGGGTGGAAAGGTGGAAGGGTGGAAGGGTGGAAGGGTGGAAGGGTGAAGGATTGAAGAAGAGGAAGAGGGCGATGATTCAAATGCAAATGTACCTGGAGGTAGATGTGGATGCGGATGTGGGAGTGGGAGTGGGTGTGGGTGTGGTTCTAGTTGTAGTTGTAGTTGTGGTTGTAGCAGTGGTTGCGGTTGTGGTTCTGCCGGAGTTGCTAGCTGCTGCGGGAATCGAGCTGCGTGAATCCATTCGGTTCACGCCATCTAAGTCGGCAGGGCGTAGATGGGTGAGAAGAATGAAAAAAGGGGGGGGGGAAGGGGGGAAGAGGGAATATGGGTGGTTGTTGTTGTTGTTGTTGTTGTTGTTGTATTGTGTATTGTGAGAGGTATGAGATGTATTATGGGGGAGAGGAGGGTCGATGATGATAATGTACGGACGGTACGGTACGGGGTCGGCACAGACTCAACGTGCTTCCTGTAAAGGAAGTTCAGTGCCAAAAGATTCGCTTGCGACCATGAGCCAGCCCTTCATTCAGCTCATTCAGCTCATTCACCTCATTCAGCTCATTCACCTCAATCAACTCGATCTCGTTCTCATTCTCGTTCTTATTTTCATTCGCCTTCCCCTTCCCCTTCCCCTACCCCTTCCCCTTCCCCTTCCCCTTCTCCCCGTCCGGACCCTGTCTCTGCTCTTAATTTAATACCCTCTCGCTCGATTATCGCCACGTTACCTCGACTCGTTATCGCAAATGACGTGGGCGCTTGCAAGTCACGCAAAGGCTTCTCTTCTCCAGATCAACAACCCTCCTTTGGACTTGATATACTTCTTACTTCTCCTTCTCCTTCTCCTTCTCCTTCTTCTTCTTCTTCTTCATCCCTCTGCTCAATGTTGATTTCGCCCTTCGTCCTTTTGTTCGGCTACCATCTGTCTTCATTAGCACTGTTGATTTGCTTGCTAGGCCTGAGTTTGCTTTCGAGGCGCCAGTTTCGCATCATACAGAGCCAAAGTCATCTAGCAGGGCCACTGTCTGTCTATCTATCATTCTTCTGGTGATCTGCGAACCTGTCACCATGGACTATTTGTCCATCTCGCTCTGTCCAGTTTCTGCAAACCTTGCTTTAATATTCGTCCAAGTCCAGGCATGGAACGGAATAACACGAACCATCTCCTTCTTTTACAACGGAAGTCGTGTCATTCATCTCCCCGGTCGCTTTGGCTGCCTGTACTGAACTGTTTCTCCCGATTTCCTTCAAGCTTCATTCCGATCTATCTCATCTCACAAATCTATAGCTTTGTCTTATGGGAGTCGAAGCTTTGCCAAGACGAGGACTATCCCCGGCCTTAATCTGTTCGAGGTGACACTACTGCCGTTCTTCCGAAATCTAGACAGAAGGGCGATTATCTCTCACAATTTGATGTTGCAACCAAGCACTAAGATTCGTGCTTTAGCACATCCCGAGTCTCCCAGTTCATTTTTGCCAAAGGCAGCCAGAGTATGGCCTTGAGTTCAAGACACCACTGTCCCCCTCTCAAGAATTTATTTTCACGCCAGATTGGACTTTTTTTTGGTACCGAGTTCCCTCGCACTCTCTTCGTTTTTTAATCGCTGTGGACTCCTCTACCCATTCTCGCAAAACTACGCACAAACTCCATCGTGCCATCCCTGATTTAGCATTACTGTGGGTTCAAATATCTACACGGCACTTGGCCTCTGCTCTTTGCAGCGGGAGACAAAATAATCCATGGCACAATATACTCACGGTTTGACGTGCAGAATTGCAGCCGCAGCTTCCGTGTTCCAAGCATGAAGCGGTCTTCCCATCGTCTTGAAGGACGTTCAACTCAACTCAACAGACCTCTCTAGTGTGACGTATCTTACTCTCCAATAGTTAACATAGCTTATTGTTCTATTCGCACTATAAGAACCACGGGTGCTCATCTCCCTGCTCTTACCCCAACAGAAGGGGCGGTTGAATGTGGCAGGCCGCTCTATCATGGAAATACTAATGAACAGACGAGCCCATTCACAGTGGTCTTTTCAGGCGGCAATTCTTACAGCTAAATACTCCTACCAATAACTGGATGGCATATCATCGTGTCTGCCCCAAACAAAATAGAAGATCTAGGTTGTGGTGCTCAGTAGGAATGTTCATATAGCAACTCAATCCTCAATGTTGGAGTTCTGTCTACTGATCGATATATCTACTGGTATCTGTCTAGACTTTTAGCTGATCAGTTTCGTAAGCAGTTTGCCTCGGTTTCCTCCACTGAACAGCCTCATCCACACCTGTGGCTGCTCCTCAATTTTTGCTTCCACAATCGTCTCCCCGGCACCCAGCACGATCCTTCCATCCGCGGCAGCACCAATCAGCTCGCCCAGAATCATCGGTACCTTCTCCATATAATCCAGCATGATGAATCCTCGAATGGTGAAGCGACCCGACACCAATTCGAACCAATTCTTCAACTTCATCGGCTCATCCGTGTTGTACTCACTCACGGCACCACAGACGGCGATTGTTCCATGTCTCTTGACCCTCGTCAGCATGACATCCAACACATGCCCGCCGACATTGTCAAAATACACATCAACCTCATCTGGCGTAGCAGCAATCAGGTCGGCCTCGAATGTGGGAGAGTTGTAGTTGACGCATGCATGAGCACCTAGCTCTTGCACCCATTTGCACTTCGCCTCAGAGCCTGCAATCCCGATCACACGCTTCGCCCCCAACAACTTCGCCGCGATCTGAATTGCCATGATCCCAGTTGCGCCTGCAGCAGCCGAGATCACGATGGTGTCGCCAGCTTTGGCCTCGCCGGCATAGTACAGGCCAGTGTACGCAGCCAGTCCTGATGCGCCGAAAGCACCCAGGTAGTGCGTGACCGAGAGTCCATTAGGTAAGGGTGGCAATGGTTGACAAGTTGCTGCATCCAGAATCACACGCTCGCTCCAAGTACCTAGGTGGAAGTTGCAGACCAAATCCCCAACCTTGTAGGTTGGAGAAAGGGACTCGAGGACGGTACCAATGACTCCTGAGCGCATGGGAGAGCCGAGGGGGACAGTAGGCACGTAGAAACGCTCGGGCGCCACCGTACTCTGAATAAAGTTCCTCAGGCCAGTATCGTTGGAGAAATATTCAACTTTACAGAGAATTTGTCCGTCCTTCAAGACCGGCAGTTCAGTGGTCTGGAGCTTGAAAGTTGCACCAGGGCCAGAAAGGACTGGGGCCCCTGTAGGCTTGGACGCCAGGATCCATTGCTTCGTCGTGTGAGTAAGGGAGGACATATTGAGATCCGCAAAGAGACAGCAACAAAAGCAAAAAAAGGTATGTACTTGCTGGGGCCATTGAGATAGGTAGATGTCCGGGTACTTATACTTACTATCGTCGAGGGGATCCTTACTGTACTGTACCGGTATTCAAAGACAGCTTCCCCGGCTGCGATCAAAACCCTGGACACTTCCCCACCACTCTGCAGCTTTGAAATTAACCAAGCCCACGGCCAAAATACATACGGAATTATCAGACCCATCAGCCTCTTTAACATGAATCTTGCCAAGTTCTGACTCATTACGAATAAGTCGGTACTCATCAAGTGTTTTTGTTTACTCATTTCTGGAGGCTAGCCTTTCTAGACCCCTAATATCTACTTGCATGCAGTTTGATGTTCGGGTGAAGCTTAGAGAAGCTTACTGTAAGTCTGTAATCGTCAGAATTAGAGGGATCTTTCAAAAATCCGGGCCCGTATCGGAAGGGAGGGAGATTGATCTCGCAGTCAGAGGAACCTAAGTTTACTTACTCGTCTAGCGCGTGTCGATCCAGCAAAACTCTATCAAGATCGTCAAGGACTCGACTCGACCGTTCAAAACAGAACATACTACTAATCTGAAAGGATGAAATTATGAAAGCAGGCCCACCTAAGCGAGCCGACGATAACCTTAGAAGGGACTGCCGGCCGGGTCAATTAAGCGAGGCACGGATACAACAAACGACGCAATTTTCTCAAGCCCACCTGGAGGCGTGGCGACCTCGATCCATGAAAGGAGTGTGCATGTAGCCATGTACTTCTACGAAAGACTGGAAATTTCCAAGACGAGACGGCACAGGATATCTGTGAAACGGCTGGATGCTAGGCATTTCTCTGTACCTGGCTCGATCTCCTGCAGTCCATCGTCGTCTCGCGGATGCTCGCCTGGTCGCTGATATTATGCAGTAGAAGGGACGAACTTCTTCTTTGTCGATCATCTGTCAGAAAGGCAGCAAGGAACATGACAAGTACTGGGCGGGGTGTTCGGGTCAGTTCTGCAGTTGGCATAGAACACAGCCAACCAGCCAACCAACCAACCAGCCAGCCAGGTAGGCCTGATTCGCAGATAATTGGAGCAATACTGGGGCATAACAAGCCGCTAGAAGACTATCTATTATTTTTCTTGCTCAGATCGACAACCAGTGTTGGGAATGTGGATATTGACGCGGCTCGGAATCGAGACTGGCAAAACCGACAGAGTAGGCGCCGAGGAAAACACGATAAATTGACAAGCTAGTGTGTCTATCTTCTTCAACCCTCTTCACGGCATGTTTATATTCGGCCTTCTTCTGGCTTCCATTTCTCTTTCTGTTGCCTTTCTTTTTTCACTGTTCTTTACTAACAGGAAACATGGCTGTTCAAGAGGTCTTTTTTCCAGTTTTGAATTTTGTACGGGCTGAGATTATTGTCAATGCCTTTGTGGTTCTTATTGGTAAGTTGAGTGCTCCGTGACTGCCATTGAGGTGCCGGCAGCCGCATCAGAGTATACTTACTGGACTTGAACTGACGTATCGCGAAGTGTTTCTGGTGGTCGGTTTGAGAATCGTAGGACGCCTCATTGGCCCAGGATGTGGCTTGGATGACTGGATGGTCGTTGTCGCAACGGTTTGTTTTCGGAAATCAGTTGAAGGGCCTGGCCGACTAATGTTTCTGAAGCCACTCGGCGTTGCTATGTTGGTGTTCCAGGGTCTTTGTAAGTCTATCACTACTATGAGTAGATCCTCCGAGAAGAGAACCGAGAACTGACGCAGAATTCCAGTTGCTACGACAGGAAATGGCTGGCCTTTGCCTCAACACCCGGAACGTAAGTTGTCCTCTAGGAGAGGGAATCTCTGCTTTACCTTCTATACGTGTTTCTTTGTGAAAGGCATCAACTCAAACTGTCAAACTGACTCTCTCAGTTGCGTCCAATATACCCTACATTCTCGAGGTAGGACTACGACTTCCTCTTCTAATTCTTCTTCTGTATCTAGAAGTCTAACACCTCCCAGTTGACATTTATAATGCAAATCATCTACGGTACGTAATCGAGGAGCCCATGTTTCTCTATTCCGGAATGTCTCTCTATCCCAGAGCCTTTCCTGATCAGGCAATTACTGACCCTACAGTCACTCTCCTCGCCTCCGTCAAAGCCAGCATGCTCTTCTTCTTCCTCCGCATCTTCCCCTCCGTCTTCATGAAGAGAGCATCCTATACCCTGCTTGGCGCCGTCTTTCTCTGGTGGGTATCCTATCTCTCCGCCTGTATCTTTCTCTGCAACCCCGTATCCGCACAGTGGACGGGGCAGGGGAAGTGTGGACTCTACCTACCCATGATCCAATCGCTGATTGCGACGAACGCGATCGGTGATCTGATCATCATGGCAGTGCCCATGAAAAGTATCTGGGAGTTGCAGACGAGAAGGACCGACAAGATCGGAATCATCTCCTGCTTCTCACTGTGTCTCGCGTAAGTCTCCTAGATCTGTCTCCCTGGAGCGAAAAGAGAGCCGTACTGAGATGAGGAACCGGGTGTCATCAGCTGTGTCGTCTGCGCCGTCTTCCGCCTGATCTACATCTCCACGGTCGACCTCAAGGGCAACATCACGGGAACCATGCCCACCACCGTCTTCCTCTTCGTCCTCGAGCCGAACCTCGCCATCCTCTGCGTCAGCATCCCCATGCTGCGACCCTTCTACGCCATGTACCGGCGCCGCATGGGCGGCACGTCTCGCCTCGACGACTCCTCGCAGGAGACTTCCAACACGGGTGTGGGTCACGCGAAGTATGCCGGTCGAGCAGGGCTAGGTGGGAAGGGGAAGAAGGCACCTGCGGACGCGGGCACTCTGAGTTCCTGGGAGATGGAGGATTACTACGGGGGCGGGCACAAGAACGATACGACGGCAACGGCGTGTGGAGCAGGTGATGAGAGCGGGAGCGACAAGAACCTGACGGCGGTGTCCACGAGCCCTGTGCCCAGAGGCATGATCGGGGTGGAGATCAAGATTTCGGCGAAGAACGAGAGCAGGTATGCACGCTAGAAGTAATCGCGCGTCGTGCGCTTTGGAATTAGAGCTTAGACCAGACCCCGGATTGGAAAAGTAGCAAAATGTATGTATAAGCAGCTAGACTAAAGACGATTGATATGGCCATGTTCGAGGCCCTGTCGCTACATATCTATCCTCGTCAAGCCCTTGGAGAGGTCGATCGAGCCTACTCACCTTTTTCACTCACCCACGCACGGCCTTGGGGGAAAACAAAAAAAAAGGGGGGGTGGGGGGGGTGGAATCCCCCCCGCGAAACGCACAAAAACCCGACACGATTCGATGTACAGCCGCGAAACGAGAAATAGGCGCACCTGCTCCTGAAACGCCACCCTTTCCTGTCTTTCTGCTTTCCTGTCCGAACGCCCACGCTCACGCGCTTATCAAGTGGTGGGAGAAGGGAAGGGAAGGGAAGAGAAGAGAAGCGAAGAGAAGAGAAAAGAAGAGAAAGCGAAGAGGAAGAGAAGAGCCCACTAACACTAACACCAGCACTGGCACTGGCACTGGCACTGGCACTGGCACTGGCACTGGCACACACCCCAGCCGCATGCTGGCCTTACTTGCTATGAATGACAGCGTAACAGCGTGAGATACGGTACTCGTATAGCGATCGCTTGTCGCCCGCGCCCGCCGTTGGGCCGTGCAAGTGCAAGTGCAAGTGCAAGGTTGGGAAAACTTACTTACTTATCTGCGTGCCTGTCTGCCTGTCTCTCTCTCTCTCTCTCTCTCTCTCTTCGCTGACTGAGACACGTAGATAAGTAAACGATATATGTATATATATATATGCAGTCCCCTTACTTGCTGCGATGAGTCGCGGGGGCTGCAGGATGGTCCGCTGGAGGGGTGGGTTCCTGGGGTGGGTGGATCCCGGTGGGCTGCGAGATACGTACCTAGTAGGTACCGGTAGATGGCATTTGCTTGTCGTGCATTGTTGTTAGCCGAGGGAGCGGGTGGGGATCAATAAAGGGGGAGGGAAAGGAGGCTAACTTGTAAGCGAGGAGGCGATGCTTCCGGTACTCGGCCTGCATGTTGGGTGAATACCGGTGGTTGAGTGACTTTGGATTGAAATTCGCCTGAGAAAATCAGAGCGTAGTTTGACATGTTGGACATTTGATATTCCCATGTTCCCAGATCCATTTGGGACCCGGACCCAGATCAATTGGGGAGATTTAACGAATTCGACACGTGTGACATGAAAAAGGTTGCGCGACCTTTTCGACTATCCCATTGTCTGAAGCCATCTCGGACATTCTTGGTTTTGCGACATGCAACAAAACACCACAAGGCTGACCATCTCACATCAACTCCTCTTAGCTTTCCCAGAATATCTGCGAAGAATGCATCACTTAGGGCAGATTAGACGTCAGGAAATTCAAGATCTACATTTTCTGGAAGCCGGCTTCTGATATTCCCGGCACCGGGGTATACATTGCTAAGCCACCAGCACCCGAAGCAAAAGATCCAAAGATCGAGTTCTCGTCTTCGCTAGCAACAGCTTTTTCGTTTCTGGCCGAGAGAAGTCTGATATGCCCCTGGTGTGATGTAGCCTATACGTGATCGGATATGACTTGGAAGGGAGTACCCGATTGACTCGTCAGCATTGTGATGGTCTGGTATCGATTGCAGTATATTCTACTCGTCACAAGCTAGCGTTCCCTTTCCCGATATTGATGTTCGTATACTCAAATAACTCAGCTACGGAGAATCTCTCCGAGTCCTGTCTCCCGAGGTCAAAGGCTAATCATGCTTGATTGTTGGACATGGTAACACGATCTTCGGAGGTCCTAGATTGAACATAGTTGCACCACCCAAGCCGAGTATTGTTGATCCGCTGGTGACCAATATATCCTACTGTATACAGAGTAGAGGGGTATTCGGACATTTAAAGCTCGGATGCAGTAGACAAGGAAAAGTCTTGTGTGAAAGCAAAAATCCTGTCTAAACTATCAGAATTCCCGCCAGAGAGATAGACGGGATCGTCTGCCTCCAATTACCAAAACGGAGCGGCTGATTATAGCCCGTTCGCCACTGTGGTGAAATACGTGATAGGCAACAAAATAACGGTTGTTAGGATGTCATGTAGAAGAAGAAGAATAGAAGAAGAATAGAATGTATATGCTTCGTATAATCGACATTCTTTATCGGAAAATAGAAAGTGACATGGGGCCGGATCCAGGCACCAGATCACGGGGCCGACGGTTAATGTCCGAGCGCAATGACGATGTTTCGTTTGCGACCATGAACAGGGAAAGCTTGCCTTGCATCAGTCAACATCACCTATAACAACAACAACAAAAACTATTTCCAAACCAAAGACTCCCTCGCTCTCCCCCACAACTCACTTCATCCATCCCTACATGGTCGCCGAGGACCGAATAGAGACCCCATATAGTCTGCGATATCCTACGGAAAGAAACAATAATCTGCGATACGGGGCAACGCTTACAACATGGGGTTGAGGCATTGGGCCTTTGCCGCCACCGGCCTGCTTGCTTTAGGAACTAGCGAGCCGTTCACTCCGAAGCACGAAGCTGGACGATGTGCGATTCGAGGGAACTGCGGTGGCAACAGCTTCTTCTCTCCTCCTCTGCCCTGCGTGGACAATAGCCTGGCGACGGATCCCGAGGACAATGTGAGGGAACAGCTAGTAGAGATGTGCGGGCCCAAATGGGAGACTGGCCCAGTGTGCTGTGAGAAAGGCCAGGCAAGTCAAAATGCTGTACGTGTCGGAGGTGGATCTGATATTCTATTATAGCTTGATACGCTGGCCGAGAACCTGCAAAAGGCACAGAGCTTCATCGCAGAATGCCCGGCTTGCAAGAATAACTTCTACAACATCTTCTGTACTTTCACTTGCTCTCCGGACCAGTCCTTGTTCATCAACGTAACACAAACCGAGCAGAATTCGGAGGGTAAGTTGAAAGTTACAGAGCTGGACCAACTTATATCGGACAAGTATGGTTCAGGGTTCTACGACAGCTGCAAAGATGTCAAGTTTGGGGCAACCAACAATAATGCAATGGCCTTCATTGGAGGAGGCGCAAAAAACTACCCGGATTTCTTGAAGTTCTTGGGCAAGAAGTCTATCCTCGGCTCGCCATTTCAAATCAACTTCCCCAGGCCCGGCGACTATCCAGAGAAGGATATGAGGCCACTTGGTATGGATCCAATAGCTTGTAACGATGAGAGACCGGAGTTTAGATGTCCGTGTGTGGATTGCCCTGCTGTATGCCCGGAGTTGCCCGCATTAGCAGATTCCGGTTCATGCCACGTGGGGATGGTTCCATGTCTATCCTTCGGAGCTATCCTTACATATAGCGTCCTCATCCTGCTTCTTGCTACTGCGGTTTCTGGGCACATTGCGTGGGCAAAGCACTCGAGAAGGAGGAGTGAGCGCTTGCGACTCCTCCAAGATGCATCCCCGAGTGATGACGAAGACGAAGGGGATATGGTCCACAACGGGGCAATGTACGACAGGCCACAGAGGAGTTACAAGATCAACTCAATCTGCGATAGCGCATTCAGCCACTTGGGCTTTACGGCTGCTAGCTTCCCTGGTATCACTATCGGCCTTAGCATTCTCATTGTTGGACTTCTGAGCATAGGCTGGGCTCGGTTTGAAATCGAGAGAGATCCCGCTCGGTTGTGGGTCAGCCCGACATCAGCTGCAGCAGAGGAGAAGAGCTTTTTCGATGCCAACTTCGGCCCATTTTATCGTGCCGAGCAGGTGTTCTTGGTCAACGAGACCGACTCAAATGTGACGAGCCCAGTCTTGAGTTACGAGACTCTCAAATGGTGGATCGATGTGGAAAAGAGGATCGGTAGTTTGAAAGGTGCAAAGTACAATGCTACACTTGACGATGTGTGCTTCAAGCCCATCGGGGACGCATGTGTAGTCCAATCAGTAGCTGCATACTTCGGAAACGACATCAGCACCGTTACCGAACAGACATGGAAGAAGCAGCTCCACAAATGTGTCAATTCTCCCGTCGATTGCCTTCCCGATTTCCAGCAGCCAATCGACCCTACGATGATCCTTGGCGGCTTGCAGGGAAAAGGCGATGCCGCTGATTCGCCCGCGATGATAGTCACTTGGGTCGTTAAGAACTATGCTGAAGGGTCCCCTGAAGTCGAAAAAGCCATGGATTGGGAGCAGTCTTTGAAAGATACCCTCGTCAAGCTTCAGGATGAAGCTTCCAATAGGGGACTGCGATTGTCCTTCTCAACTGAGATCAGCTTGGAACAGGAGCTCAACAAATCCACCAATACGGATGCCAATATTGTGATCATAAGCTACATCATCATGTTCTTCTACGCTTCCCTCGCTCTCGGATCTACGACTCTGTCAGTACGATCTATTTTGCGGAACCCGGCAGCCTCTTTGGTTGAGTCCAAGTTCACGCTGGGGGTTGTAGGCATTGTGATTGTGTTAATGTCCATCTCCGCCTCCGTCGGCCTTTTCTCCGCAGCTGGAATCAGGGTCACTCTTATCATCGCGGAGGTTATTCCATTCATCGTACTGGCAGTCGGTGTGGATAACATTTTCTTGATTGTCCATGAATTTGAAAGAGTCAATGTCAGCCACCCAGATGAAATGGTTGAATTTAGAATCGCTAAAGCACTGGGACGCATGGGGCCATCTATCTTGCTCTCTGCGGTCACAGAGACGATTGCGTTCTCGTTAGGTGCTTTTGTGGGCATGCCTGCTGTACGCAATTTCGCTATATATGCCGCGGGCGCCGTCTTTATCAACGCCCTTCTTCAGGTGACTATGTTCATCTCCGTACTTACTCTAAACCAAAAGCGCGTTGAAGACCGTCGGGCAGACTGCATTCCTTGCATCCAAATCAAGAGTGCTGGGGTCCATCTCCCCTCTACTGGAAACGGGTACATGAGGCCATACGAGGGTCAGGAGGAAGGCACTCTTCAACGATTCATCCGAAAGACTTACGCTCCGACTCTGCTGGATAAAAAAGTTAAAATGGCCGTGGTTGTCATATTCTTGGGCATCTTCACCGCCGGGGTCTCATTGATTCCAGAAGTGGCGCTAGGTCTCGACCAACGAGTTGCCATTCCGGATGACTCCTATCTGATCCCTTATTTCAATGATCTTTACGATTATTTTGATTCTGGACCTCCCGTCTACTTCGTCACCCGAGAGCTGAATGTCACGGAGAGATTGCACCAGCAGCAACTTTGTTCCCGGTTCAGCACTTGCGAGCAGGATTCACTCGTCAATATACTGGAGGGCGAGCGCAAGCGATCTAACGTTTCTTACATTGCTTCTACTCCTGCAAGTTGGATCGACGACTACTTCCGCTGGCTAGACCCCAATCTCGCAGAGTGCTGTGTGGAGAACGGCAAAACATGCTTCGAGGATCGCGACCCTCCCTGGAATGTCACCCTCTACGGTATGCCCGAAGGCCAAGAATTTATGCACTACCTAGAGAAATGGATACAAGCGCCCTCCGATGTAGATTGCCCGTTAGGCGGAAAAGCAGCATACAGCACTTCCTTAGTCATTGACTCAAACAGGGAGACTATACCTGCAAGCAGTTTCCGTAGTGCACACACCTCGCTCCGCAGCCAGGAGGCATTCATCAAAGCATATGCCTCTGCCCGCAGAATCGCAGACGGGCTGAGCAAGAACGGCGTCGAAGTCTTCCCTTATAGCGTCTTCTACATCTTCTTCGACCAATACGCCACTATCGTTCGCCTCACAGCGACGCTGCTCGGCTCAGCACTAGCCCTCATTCTTGCTATCTCCTCCATCCTGCTCGGCTCCGTGTGGACTGGCGCCGTTGTCACAGCTACAGTGATCATGATAGTCGTCGATATCATCGGCACCATGGCCGTTTTCAACGTCTCGCTCAACGCCGTCAGTCTCGTCAACCTGATCATCTGCGTCGGCATTGGCGTCGAGTTTTGCGCACATATCGCACGCGCATTCATGTTTCCATCTCGCGCCGTCATGGAGCGCGCTAAGAACAAGTTCCGTGGCCGGGATGCCCGCGCCTGGACAGCTCTCGTCAACGTCGGAGGCTCCGTCTTCTCCGGTATCACTATCACGAAGCTCCTGGGAGTCTCCGTGCTGGCGTTTACGCGGAGCAAAATCTTTGAGATATACTACTTCAGGATATGGTTGGCACTGGTGGTTTTTGCTGCTACGCATGCGTTGATCTTCCTGCCAGTGGCTCTGAGTCTGTTGGGAGGCGAGGGATATATGGACCCCGAGTCTGAGGGAGGGTTAGAGGAGGATTTGGCGAGTCGCCGGTATAGAGCGCTGTTGCCGGAGGATGAAGATGATTCTGATGACGATTACTAAAGGACACTCGTTTGATTATTTGGGAAATTGGACTACTGTAAGCAAACAAAGCAGGCGTTTAGCATGGAATGGAATATACCAAGCCGGCGACAATTTTTTTTCTCAAGCGTTCGAATAAATCTATGGCGGCGGTTTAATCGCCATCAGGCGACGAGGTGTGTATGTATACTTTCTTTTTTCTTCAATGGATTAAAATTAAGGTATCGCTACGCTCTGCTCGGTGGCAGCTACTAATGATTCTTGCTCTTGCTAATTACGCTGTGCGTACAATGCACACAACCGCTCGTCATGACAACACGTGATTAATACACTCTCCTCACAATTTCCCGGAAAAAGCTTTCAGCAACACAAACAAAGCAACCCTGACAAATTACTCCACCCGCAAGACCCAGCCAAGTGAGTCGGAGGCACGCCTCGCTACTCAATCCCAATACTCTCCATTCCACATGCGCTTCGCAAGTCTGTTCGTACCAAATATAGCCAGCTGTATCACCACGTCCGCAAAAAAGGGCGCCAACAAGAACACCACTTGCACGGAAATCAGTATCCCGCCGGGTAGTCAATGCGAACTCGGCAGCAGCAGGCGCCTGTTCTTCTTGATCAGCGCATTGAGTCTCTTCTCAAGGCCCTCCGTCTCCTTGCGCGCAATCTGCATGGCACCCTCGGCCTCGGTGAGAGTCAACAGCGCCACGCTGCCAAGTGGCTGTCCAGACGGGGCTCGAGGGAGATCACCGCCGATTGTGATGTGCGCAGTCATGCTCTCCAGACCGTTGGCGATCATACCTTCGCGGTTGGTAGGAGCTGGGCCATAGCCAGACTCAGCACCGTTATCGGGGCGACGGTTGGAGTTGGAATTGCCGTCGCTGCCCCAGTTTGTCCACGCTGCGGCATCGCCGGCGTGAGTGATATCTGTCTCATTTGGTTTGACGTTAAGAGCTTTCTCGATCTGCTGGTTGGTGGACATGGATGGGAGCACGTATTGGTTGATGTAGCCGAGGGCCTCGTCTCGCTGGATCTTGCTTACAGGGTCCATGGCTGGAGCACCGGTACTCGAGGCGGGAAAGAAGGTTGGTGTGCCGTTGGAGACAGCGCGGCCACCGATCAGAGCAAATCCGTTGCCGGAGTGGTGCTTGGCGGAGGTAAATGAGGCTGGACCGTAGTCGCTAGCGATACGGGCTTGGAGATCCAGATACCGTTGCTCTTCCTCTGGTGTGAGATTACGAATGCAGTCACCATTTGGGGTCAGCACGATTCTACTTGGACCATCTCCAACTTTGATAACCGGCTCGCCAGCAAGGAGAGTCTGTCGGTCTTCCGGAGAGATGGTGACCTTCGGGTTGATGCTTTGTGGGTCGATGGGAGTTTTGACCTGATGGTTGACTATTGGGTTCTTGAGCAGGAAAAGATGGTCTACATCATCGATCAATCCTTCTGCAATCAGATGATGGAAGACAGAGGCTGGAGTTGGGATAGGCTTGTCGGCCTGCTCATTTTCCACCTCAGGTGCCGGGGGGGTGGGCTCTGGTGATACAGCTGGTTGGGCCTTAGCCTTTCCTTTTCCCTTCGAGTCTTGTCCTTTGCTGTAGATTCTAGTGGTTTCTTGTTCAGCTGTGCTGCTTTGCTTCTGCGGAGCTTGCCCTGCTTGTTCTAGAACTATAGGCTTGGGCTTGGGTTCATCTGGTATTGCTTCCGTAGGACCGGGCGACGGCGGCCGGCTGACAACAGGCGTCGAACCTTCAGCTGCACTGGGGACAGTGCGTTCCTTCTTCTGCTTCTTCTTTCTTCCCATAATAGGAGCAATTGCAACCTCAGGGGTTGGTTCTGCCATCTTTGCGCGTGCTTCCGCGTCGGCCTTTTCTTTTGCCTCTGCCTTCTCTTTTCGTAGCCTTCTGGTAGCTGCCTTCGTGTTCTCTCTTACCGGCGCAGACCCAATCTTCGAGGGTGGAGGAGAGCTCGCTCTTGAAATCGAAGCTGATGTGATTGAAGCATTATCCGAGATAATCTCACTAGAAGGCGTACTAGGACGCAGGGCTAGACTTGCTTGCCGCGAAGGCAGAGCAGGTGGAAACATGGACGTTGCAGAAGATGGTGTTGCACTTCCGGCAGATGGAATCTCTGTCTTTGTCGTCGGTACAACTCGAATAGACTTCATCGCGGGACGAGGAGGAGGTGACTGGAAACTAGCGACAGTCGAGGCACTTGGCAGGGAAGGGTAATCGGAAGGGGGTAATGATTTGACAGGCGCAGGGGTTGACGTAGAAGTTTCGATAACTAAAGTCTTGACGATTGATTTTGTAGGCATTGAAGCGTTGGGAGCTGGTGTGCTGTGTTTCTCTGCGGCTTTACTCACCGCCTGAGCCTGAGAGGCAGTGACTGGTACAATCGACGGCTTTTTTGAAGTTGTCGTCACTGCCGGCTTGGGTTGCGTGGAAGTCTTGCTACTGACGGATGGAGCCGCTTGAACTTTTGCTTTACCACTCTCCAGAGCTGGAAAATCTTCTGATTGGATTGCGGGCTGAGAGGATTGGAAAGCGATGGCCTTCGAAAGCCCAGTGTTAGTTGCAAGCGCCGTGACATCTTGCTTCGCCGGAGAGGTTGACACAGAAGTCTTTGATTTTGGAATGCTCTGCGTCGTTTGAGGGGCTGTTACCATGGACAATGGAGTAGCCACACGAGGAATAGCAGGGTTCCGAGCGGGTGTAAACGGTGCAGAGGTCGGAGTGAACCGAGTAGGTACTTTCGTAACGGGCTCCTCGCGAATGGCGGTCGGGGGGTGGGCGTGTGGTAAACTGAATCCCGGGGGAACAGCTGGTGTAGAAGAGCGTGAGACTTGGTTCTGATTATCCGGACTAGGTAAGACAGCATCGTCATCCGCAACAAGTGCATCTATCGATGAAGTTACGTCGACGTCGAGAGCCAAGGGGCCTAGATCATCTGGAAAAGCATGTTAGCATGGACGCTTGGAGTTGTTGAACATGACAATATGTAAATCTGAAGCAATTTGAGTCCAGTGTATAGCCAGCCTTGGTCTCAACATAGCACGAAGTCACAGGGTCCATCATCGTCTTCGAAGTAGAGAAAGGAGGTACTGAAGGCACAAATGTGTGAGAATGCTACATTTTACCAGCCAATGTTGGCCTTGGGTTCGGGGATTTAACGTACAGGAGAAGGTAGGCAGGTAGCCGAATGTGAAGACGATGATGGAGCCCCGATGAACGTGCCATGCCGCCATGAGTGCCAGAGATGACTGCGATGCTCATAATATCAACGCAGGAAAAGAAAAACAAAGCAAATCCGTTTGGTTCCCTCATCCCGATAACCCCCCAACGCCAGAGCAGCCGAAGCTTCCTCTATCTCAAGAGATCAACCGTGCTCGCTGAAGTTTGAACAGATGCCCAGAATGCAACGCCCTTTGAAGGGTCTTTGCGAACGCCATCTCCAAGGAAAATTCAAGGCCAATTTCTACAGCCCCGTCGCGGAAAACGCCTATTGATACCGGGAAAACCCATTGTTGTTGTACATCATGTTCTGGTTGTACCCACCTTGAACCTGACCACCAAACACCTGTCCGACTCCGGCACTGCTCTGCTGATGGTGCATTCTCGCTTGCAAGATACTGGGGTCTGCAAGATCATTGACTAAGCCACCTCCCCCAGAGGAGGAAGTGTTAGCATGTCTGTGCTTCTTTCCCTTCTTCTTCTGCTTTTGACCGTAGTCTTGGAATGCTCCAGTCTGAGGACCGTAGAGCGATGCCAGGAAGCCTGAAGCAGGAGCTGGAGTGGAGGAGGCAGATGGGTATTGCTGAAGAAATGAAGGAGAAAAGTTGTACTCACGCTTGCCTGTATCATGCGACTGACCACCTCTGTTCCCTCCCCGGAACATCTGCTGGAGAAATTCGTTGGGCTCCCTCTGAGCACCACCAAAGATTGCGCCGGCACCCATAGAGCCGAATGCGTTTGCTTGGCTGAACATTCCCCCGATCGGAGGTGTGGCAGTTGACTTCAGACCAGGAGGTGGACCAGGCATGGAGCCCATAGAGCCCCCGTATTGGTTGCCGTGTGGGACGGTGGGCATCATAGATGACTGTTGCGCCATCAATTTTGAATTTGCTGATGGTTTGACTGAAGATGTTGATGATCCATCGTTGGCAAAAGCGTACCGAGATGCCTGTCTGTTGTGGCCTTGTTGTTGGAACAGCCCGGCTCCCTGGCTAAAATTTCCCATGCCAGGTGGGTACTGGTCTATGTAGCCAGACTGAGCTTGAGTCGACTTCATAAGCGCGAGCTGGTTTTGTTGATGTGCAGTCAAGGGACGTCCGTTGATAGAGCTCAAGCTGCCAACATTTTGGAAAGGTAAGTTCAGGTTAGGACCAAACAGACCACCATTCGAACCCCGATGAATGGGGGCCTGCGCACTCGGCCGCCTCTGGGCATGGTAATTTTGCTGCTGGCTGCCCTCTCGACTGTTATCTCTGTCCTCCGGCTCGCCTCCCAATTGGAAGCTTCCGCCCTGGGGAGCTTCCTCCTCCACTGGCTCATGCACAGATTGTATATCTGCCTGCGATTCCTGCTCTAGAGAAAGTCTTGCCTCTTCCTGCTGTTCCCGCATAGCCTTCCGTTTTTGGCCACCTAGTTCGTCGAAGAGAGGCGGGAAGGAGGAGAACGGATCAGAGCCTTGGTCGGTGCTAATCGTCCTTGTAAACGAAACCTTTGAAGAATTGATCTCTTTCAGCAGATCGACCAAGGCAGGATCTCGTTCTGGTCCGACCGATTCATTCTGTGTTGCAGTTGCTGCTGATGGGAGTTCACTGGAGGTTGTTGAAGGTTCCTCTTGCTGGAGCTCCTCTGTAGACTCTGATTTTAAAGGCATAGCCTGCGCGACAACTGGGCTGGAAGCTGCCCCACTTGTCGCTTGGCTGCCTCTTCTACTAGGCTGTGGCACGCCACCTCGGTTGGCCCAGCTTGCAGTTGTTGGAAGCGCAGAACCGTCGCCGCTATCAGATCCATCTTTGCTCTCATCCCGTAACATCGGTTGAACGGCAGCAGCAACAGGCTGTGCTAATTGTAGTGGAGCCTGGGCCTGAGCCTGTGCTTGGACAGCCTGCCTAGAACTGGAGGAGGAAGATGCCATGACCGGAAGGGGACGTTGGGTATTAACACTGTTGATTGAAGACAAATCTTGCCGTGAATAACTATCATCATTGTCACCAGGTTCATGGAGGAACATGCAGTTCTTGTTGGTACAGATCTCGTTGCGTAAGTAAGCCGAGCAGTACTTCGTGGTTCCCAGTTGAGCCCGCAGGACCCGGTCGCCGTTTTGTGATCCGTTGACCGCAGTTATGCATCTCGCGGCGTCTTCTTTCCGGGCAAAGGTAACGTACACACCGAGGGACTGAGGTTGACCGCTTGCCGAAGAATCCTTCTTGTTGCTGACCACGATCTTGATGATCTTTCCGTACTGGCCAAAATATTTGTCCCCGCGAAGAGTCTCTAGGATTTCCTTCTCAGCGACATTCGGACTTAATCCAACGACGTAGACGAGATTTTTCTGCACGACCCGGAGCCCAGATAGATGCTTTCGGTTCAGACTCTCGACCTCGCGCTTCTGTGCCTCCTTTTGTCGCTGCTCTTGTTTCTTCTTCGCGTTCTTTTGTAGGTTGGCCTTGAACTGTGCTACTCTGGAGGGGATATTAGCAGTCGAAAAAAATGTAAGCTTAGATTCTATACTCTTCTGGTGTCACGACTTTCCACTCTATTGTCTTTTCATCGTATGGCCTTCGACATGCCGGACACAGGCCGTTCATGTTGGTTTTGATGTTGTTGAAGCAAAATTGGCAGACCTGTAGTGGCACTTCGAGTCAGTGAGGTTCGGCACTGGAGGCCTACAGAGTAATGTTGACACTGACCTGATATCCGCAAGGGCATGGCCGGAAGTTCTTGTCTGAAAGATCGAACTCTTCAACGCAGAGCGGACTGTACTCGACGGTTAGCTAGCGAAGTCAGGGGGGACTGCGAGCCTGCGCGTAGGCAGCTGGCAGGACATACCAGCATTCTTCATCATCGTCGATGATAATATCGTGAGGTGCCATCTTGAAAGTCCGGCGGGGTGCTGAAGGTGTTCAGGGTTCGTGGCGTAGAGTTGAAGAAATGGAGAGTAAGGTCGATCGTGGCGCGCAGGGTTTGCCAGGGGTGGGCCCAGAGCTGTGTAATCTATGTATGAATATCGAGATGTTAGAATCGTGAGGATGCTTGTGTTGAATACGGTGTTGAGGTGGTGGAGTGGTGTATGTTTGTAGGAGACACGGCGGCTATTGAAGATGAAAGATCACGAAGTTCACGGAACGACTGCTGGCCTGCTAAAGAGACGGCGCTAGTTTATATGCCTGAGGCACCAGGCTAAAATACATGAGGCAAGTGGTCGTATTATTAGAAATATCATTGCTGACGTAGCCACAGAGCATTCAGAAAAATAAAGAGATCCTTTCGAACCGCTTTAATTTACACATCTAATAGAATTATTCTGTGCAACAATTGACTCAGAAGTACTACTGGTAATACTTAGGTACTTATGAATAGTAGACTTACGAAGTATAGAAGGTGGGTGACATTTGTGCCTGAATATGTGCCTTGTGGCCTGATTCCGTTTGAATCAATGTCAATGATGCCCTTGAGACGAGACCTAAGCGAGCGTGAGCTGCGGACTTCGACGGCCTCGAGAGACCTTCGTACTATACCACACCCTCCCTGCAATTGGCAACACCACACCTTGAGATCAGCCATGGCTTTGAGAGTATCGAACTCGAGGGCGCTGGCCTCAGCTTTGCGGTCAAGTAAGACTGCTCTCGCCCGCCGCAACGACTGCAGCACTGCCATCCGTGCCTTCTCGTCAACCCAGAATACCCAAATCGTTGTCTCTGCAGATACCCCCAATATGCGACACGCGCAGAGACCTGCCGATCCGCCTGGAGGGCTTCATGCACCCATAGTCAACCCGGTCGACAAGTACGCTGCAAAGGCCGAAGACATGCACCGGTACGGATCTTGGCTCATGGGGTGTCTGCCAAAGTACATTCAGCAATTCTCGGTGTGGAAGGATGAGCTGGTCATTTACATTCCGCCTGCTGGAGTCATCCCAGTTTTCACCTTTCTCAAATGTACGTACCCTAGTGCTCTTTCCGGAGACTCCTTGACTGATGCTTGCAAGACAACACTGCTGCCGAGTTCACCATGGTCGCGGACATCACTGCCTGCGATTTTCCCACCCGAGACCAGCGTTTTGAGGTCGTCTACAACATGTTGAGCGTTCGCCACAACTCGAGAATCCGAGTCAAGACATATGCCGACGAAGCGTCACCAGTTCCCAGCATTACAAGTCTTTATGATGGTGCCAACTGGTACGAGAGAGAGGTGTATGATCTCTTCGGTGTGTTTTTCGTGGGCCACCCAGATCTGCGGCGTATCATGACGGACTACGGCTTCGACGGACACCCGTTGAGGAAGGATTTCCCTTTGACCGGATACACGGAGCTCAGATACGACGAAGAGAAGAAGCGGATCGTGGTCGAGCCTCTCGAGTTGACTCAAGCGTTCAGGAACTTCGAGGGAGGAAGTGCGGCGTGGGAGGTACGTACCGTCTGCTTCTGGAAATATCACACAGGATTAACAGAACGCAGCAAGTGGGACCTGGTCTCGATAAGAAGCCCGAGACATTCAAGCTGCCAACGGCAAAGCCCGAGCCAAAGGAAGAGCCAAAAAGGTAGATTTGATTGTTTTTATGTACATAGGTTCAATATACTGTGCGTTCTTCCAGCGGCTACTGGCCACAATCAGAGCTTGGTAGCAATCAAAGTACAGAGATACAATTCTGTCTCCCGCTAAGAAGGCAAGGTTCCTCTCCATTTAATTCAGCGAAAGGCTACTCTGTCATTTATCTGGCGTTCTCAGCTCCTTGTTCACTGTCTGATATTATCTTATATTTCACTTGAAGATTCTGCATCGTTGCGCAATATTTACCAGTGAAATTACTACCTGCAATCAATCTCAATTTCTTCCACAATTCTTTTCTACATTTCCCTTCCACATTTCTCTTCCAACCTCAGAATTACGTTCCTTGTGTTTTATTCTTGCAGGTGAATCGGAAGGTGCCTCAATAGCGTCTGCGCAGTATTTGCGAGATCAAAGACGAAGGGACTTGCTGGGGCCCGACTCCCGTATACAGACTCATCTCTTACAATGCGCGAACGCCCATTTCTGCATTCTCAGGAAAGCAAGTTGGACTGGAAAATTAGGAAGGCCCAGATCACTTAGAAACACGTATATAATCAGCCAGTGAACGTGTTGCTATGCTATAGATGTGAATCATAAACCTGCCGTAATAGTTATCGCAAGTCCAAACGAATTTGTTTGCTGCCAGTATTCAAGCATAGCAAATTCCATTTTCCCCTGGCGTCCTCTGCTCCCTCGCAGTGATGGCTCATGGGCTTCGTTTGCATGTCCCAGCCTCACACAGCACAATCCGCCGGAATGTGAGCTCATCAAGTCCAAAGACTGTGCTGGGACCACACTGCTATCAGTCAGTCGATACCATACTCCCCTCTCTCGTTGGGAGCTTTGATGCACGTCTTAGCTTATTCTAATCGCTATTTTGGCTTGGGACATCGCTGGAGGGCTTTATAGCGTGCCACGACGCGTGAGCTGTTCAAATTCTTGAGCACGTCCTTGGTGTTCTTCAGACGAAACTCCAGACTCGATGTATCGCTTCGTTATGCTGAGTATTCGATATCACTGCTACTTCTGCTGCACTGCACATCGTAGATGTTTCCAATAGTCGTTTTAGGCTCAGCATATGGCTGGCGAGATCTATAACGTGAAAATTTGACAGCTGCTGAGCACCTCCGTGGGTAACCCCCCCCCCC